CCCGTGGCACCAGAAGTCCTCGTGCACGTGGGCCCAGGGCATGCGCACCACGTACACCACCACGCCGTACATGCCGATCAGGCCGAACCACAGCTGCCGCCCGATGTAGTAGCCGGATTTGTCGCCGGCCACCGAGTGCAGCACCGGGATCAGCCCGGCCACGGCTGCGGCTGCCATGATCGGGGGGGGGGGGGCTCGGCGCCCCTGGGGCCCAAGATCAGAACTCAGACGGCACCCTGGGAGGGAGAGCGAGGGACAGGGTCAGGCCAGGGACGTGGTGGCACCACTCCTGCGCCTGTCCGAGGAGGCTCTGCCCCACCGCTGCCCAGGAAAGCAGACACCCAGCCTCCCCACCCCCCACGCAGCCGGAGCCGGTACCAAAGCCAGGGCCCGGCCGCGCGTGCCCATCTCATTACCGGTTCATGTTTGGCACAGCACAGAAGGTTCTCCGCGCACCTGGCGATCCGAGACCGTCTTCGCTGAGAAATGGTCTGCAGCTGAGGAAGAAAGGCAGAGTGCTCCCTTAGTCCTCGGCCACCCAGTCACGGCACTCACCAACTCCCTTCCAGGCTGGTGTACCCGTCACCCTCATTTATTGACAGGAATGATCGTTCTGACCGTTACGAGCTGTGGATGGGTTGGTCGATCCATTGATTGATAGAGCAAGCCCCGGGGTACTAGGTAACTCTCTCCGCCAAAGACCAAACTACTTTCAATCTTTTGTCACTGTCCACGATCGTCCTTACGTGTAACATATTATTTTCCTGTGCTAGAACCCTGGTTTGAGCTTTGAGCCTTGCACTTGCTCCGTGGGCACTCGACCACACAAGCCACGCCTCCAGCCTGGCTTTTGCTGGATAATTGGAGTTGGAATCTTGCAGACTGTTCGGCCTGGGTTGGCTGTGAACCTCGGTGCTCTGGATCCCAGCCAAGGCACAGGGCCGAAGTCCAGTGTCCTGAGCGGCTGCCCCCGTGCTTCCCAGCAGACACTGCGTGTGCCCCCAGCACGCACAGATGCTCGTGGGACCTGGTTGTGCCACGGCTGTTTCATTAAAACTGGTCACAGCCAGTGCAGACCTGTCTCTCTACACACACGTCAGCCACGGTTTCAAATCACACCTAGACGCCACGTCGCATGGAAGCTAGTCAGCCACAGGGGCTGGAAGAGGAAGCCACCACGCACTGGGGGTGTGGGATGGGGAGGGGATGAGGGACGGGGATGAGGGATGGGGAGGGGATGAGGGACAGGGGAGGAGGGGATGAGGGACGGGGGAGGGGATGAGGGACGGGGGAGGGGATGAGGGACGGGGGAGGGGATGAGGGACAGGGGAGGGGATGAGGGACGGGGAGGGGATGAGGGACGGGGAGGGGATGAGGGACGGGGGAGGGGATGAGGGACGGGGGAGGGGATGAGGGACGGGGAGGGGATGAGGGACGGGGGAGGGGATGAGGGACGGGGGAGGGGATGAGGGAGGGAGAGGGGATGAGGGACAGGGAGGGGATGAGGGACAGGGAGGGGATGAGGGACGGGGAGGGGATGAGGGAGGGGGAGGGGATGAGGGACGGGGGAGGGGATGAGGGACGGGGAGTGGATGAGGGACAGGGGAGGGGATGAGGGACGGGGAGGGAGGATGGGGCAGGAGGACGGGCGGGGGGGGGGGGGGGGGGGGGCGGAGCCAGGGGGGACGGAGCCAGGGGGGACGGATGGGGGGGGACGGGCGGGGGGGGGGACGGGACGGGGGGAGGACGGGCCGGGGGGGGGAGGACGGGCCGGGGGGGGGACGGGCCGGGGGGGGACGGGCCGGGGGGGGACGGGCCGGGGGGGGACAGAGCCGGGGGGAGGACGGGCCGGGGAGGGGTGGAGCGGGGGGGGGGGGGGGACGGGCCGGGGGAGATTGGGGACGGAGGGGGGGGGGGACAGAGCCCGGTGGGGGGGACGGGCGGGGGGGCGGAGCCCGTGGGGGGGACGGGCCGGGGGGGGGGTACAGAGCCCGGTGGGGGGGGACGGGCGGGGGGGCGGAGCCCGGTGGGGGGGGACGGGCCGGGGGGGGGACGGGCGGGGGGGCGGAGCCCGTGGGGGGGACGGGCCGGGGGGGGGTACAGAGCCCGGTGGGGGGGACGGGCGGGGGGGGCGGAGCCCGGTGGGGGGGACGGGCCGGGGGGGGGCGGAGCCCGGTGGGGGGGGACGGGCGCCCGCGGCTCCGAGGACCCGGGGTCCGCTCGTCCGCAGACGGCCGGGACGGGCGCAGCCGCGTACCTGCGAGGCCGGCAGGGCCAGGCCCGAGCCTCCGCGGCCCGGCTCCGAGCCGCTTCTCCCTTCGCCAGCCCGAGGCGCCGCCGCGCCTTTCCGCTTCCCACCAACTGCCCGCGCCTCGGGCGCCCGGCTCGCGGCCCATTGGCCGCGCCGCCTGTCCGTCTCAGCGGGCTCCCGCCCATTGGCCGCGCCGCCCTCCGTCCTCCTGCCCATTGGCCGCGCCCCCTGCCCGTCTGGGCGGGCTCCACCAATCGTGGCGCTCGGGGCAGGTGCTCGGCAGGTGCGCCTTTGGGACGACGCCCCGGAAGGCCTCGTCCTCTCCCGGGGCCTCCGCGCGGCGCCGCTTTGCGTCCTCGATGAACGGCCGCCGCCGCCGCGCAGCTGCTTCGCCGCGGCCTCCCCGGGCCGGGGCGCGCGGGGCCTCCGCGCCCGGGCTGCGCGTGCGCACCGGCCGAGCCTGGAGGCTGAGGTCCGAGCATCGCCTCCCCGAGTTCGAGCCCAGCGCCCGGCACGGAGGGAACAGCGGCTTCTGTGCCTCCAAAGCCAGGGACGCACCGGCCGCGGCTGGCTCGTCAGCAAGAGAAGAGGAGGGGGGAGGGGGAGCAGGGGGGGGGACGGGGAGGGGGACAAGGGGGGAGGGCCGGGGGGGGAGGGCGCTCCCTGAGACCTGGAGCAGGGCCCAGGTCAGCTCCCAGGCCAGTGCCCAGGCCAGCGCCCAGGTCAGGGCCCAGGTCAGCTCCCAGATCAGGCCCCAGGCCAGGGCCCAGGTCAGCGCCCAGGTCAGGGCCCAGGTCAGCGCCCAGGCCAGCGCCCAGGCCAGCGCGCAGGCCAGCGCCCAGGTCAGCGCCCAGGCCAGCGCCCAGGTCAGCTCCCAGGTCAGCGTCCAGGTCAGGGCCCAGGTCAGCGCCCAGGCCAGCGCCCAGGTCAGCGCCCAGGTCAGGGCCCAGGTCAGCGCCCAGGCCAGCGCCCAGGTCAGCTCCCAGGTCAGCGCCCAGGTCAGGGCCCAGGTCAGGGCCCAGGTCAGCGCCCAGGCCAGCGCCCAGGTCAGCGCCCAGGCCAGCGCCCAGGTCAGGGCCCAGGTCAGGGCCCAGGTCAGCGCCCAGGCCAGCGCCCAGGTCAGCGCCCAGGTCAGGGCCCAGGTCAGCGCCCAGGTCAGCGCCCAGGCCAGCGCCCAGGTCAGCGCCCAGGTCAGGGCCCAGGTCAGCGCCCAGGCCAGGGCCCAGGTCAGCGCCCAGGTCAGGCCCCAGGCCAGGGCCCAGGTCAGGGCCCATGTCAGGGCCCAGGTCAGTGCCCAGGCCAGCGCCCAGGCCAGGGCCGCCGCTCACTCCGGTGCTGCCCCTGCCGCTGCCCTCGGCGTGCAGGCCCCAGCCCCCGATGGGTCAGCAGCCGTGGTCTGCCGGCTGCGAACCCAGAGCCTTCCCGCAGCCGCCCGCCGCGGTGTGGAGGGGGCTGGGGCGGTGGCCGGCGGTGGCCCGGGGGAGACCTGCGGCCTCCCTCCCTCTGCTAGCAGATCCCCGCCGAGATCCCCGCCGCACAGCCCGGGAACCCGCCGATCTCCGGGCGCCTTTGCTCTTCTCTGAAATGCCAGTGGCCACGGGGCTCTCGCAGGAGACCCGGGAACCGGCTCCAGGGCAGGGCCAGGGCCAGGGCCAGGGCGAGGCGCGGGGCTCGCTCAGGAGGCCATGGAACCAGGGCCAGGGCCAGGCGCGGGGCTGCCACGGCCTCCCCTCACCGCGCCCGGGCTCCTGTCGCTGGACGTGAAGCTCTGCTCACCAAACACTAGGGAAGATGGGGGGGTCAGGAAGAGGGGACAGGAGGGGGGCAGGGGGAGGAGGGGTCAGGGGTCAGGAGACAGAGCTGGGGGCAGACAGATGATGTAGATGTAGATGATGGGAGACATCGATGGATAGACTCGGGTGACAGGTGACAGCTGTGGGTGATCGATAGGTGATTGATAGTGATAGGTAGGCATAGATGATGGGCTGTAGATGTGGGTGACTGATAGGTCAGATAGATGCAGAGGTTCGGGTGACAGCTGTGCGTGATCACAGATGACTGATAACGGAGAGGTGGCGGGTGATTGATTGATAATAGAGAGGTGGCGGGTGATTGATAATAGAGAGGTTGCGGCTGGTACAGACACAGACAGCCGGCGGGACGTGGATGACTGATGGATGCCGGCTGGCCCCGTCCGGTGGGTTGGCTGGTGGGGGGGGGGGGTGTGCGCATGCGCGCGGCCCGGGACGCGAACTCGGGGCCGGCGCCGTCCCTGGGCTTCGGGCCGGGCGGGGCTCTGGCCCGGGAGCCGCGGCTCCACTCCCGGCTTTGGGGGCGGCGGCGGGGCCGACCGAGGTCCCGCCCGCGGGCCATCGCCGTCCCCGGGCTCCCGAAGGACGGCTCCCGCCCGGCCCGGGCGGCGCGGGCCCGGCCGTGCTCCGCGGGACGGCGCCGAGCCACCGGAAACGGCGCGAGGGGCGGGGCGGGGCCCGCGGCGGGGCGTGGCCTGGCGAGGGCGGGGGCGTGGCCTGGCGAGGGCGGGGGCGTGGCCTGGCGAGGGCGGGGCCCCACCTGGGCGCCCAGCCCTCGCACACCTGCTAGGCCCGGGGCGTGGTCACGGAGCGACACGCCCCTCGGCCCCGCCCACAAAGGCCCCGCCCCCGCGGCGGGAAGCCGGAAGCGAGGCGCAGGGCGCGCGCCGAGGCCCCGCGGAAGGCGACCAGGCGGCGGCTCCTCCGCGGCCGCGGCCATGGGGGCCCTGCTCCGCCCGCGGCCCGCGCCGCCGCCGCTGCCGCTGCTGCCGCTGCTGCTGCTCCTGAGCGCCCCCGCCCCGGGCCGCGCGGCCCCGCGGCTCCTCGACCGCCCGGCGCCGGCCTGCGCGCAGGAGGTGAGGGCGGGGGGGGGGGGGGGGGGGGGGGGGGAAGGAGACGCGGGGAGGGGGTACACAGGGACTGGGACAAGGGGCGTGGGAACCGGGAACGGAGTGGGGTCAGGGTCTGCACAGGACCAGGACAAGGGGCAGGACCAGGACCAGGACCAGGGGCAGGGACAGGGGCAGGACCAGGACCAGGACCAGGGGCAGGACCAGGACCAGGGGCAGGGACAGGGGCAGGACCAGGACCAGGACCAGGGGCAGGACCAGGGGCAGGACCAGGACCAGGACCAGGGGCAGGGGCAGGGGCAGGACCAGGACCGGGGGCAGGACCAGGGGCAGGACCAGGACCAGGGGCAGGACCAGGACCAGGACCAGGGGCAGGACCAGGACCAGGGGCAGGACCAGGACCAGGACCAGGGGCAGGGGCAGGACCAGGGGCAGGACCAGGACCAGGACCAGGGGCAGGACCAGGACCAGGACCAGGGGCAGGACCAGGGGCAGGACCAGGGGCAGGACCAGGACCCGGGGCAGGACCAGGACCAGGGGCAGGACCAGGACCAGGACCAGGGGCAGGGGCAGGACCAGGACCAGGGGCAGGACCAGGGGCAGGACCAGGGGCAGGACCAGGACCAGGGGCAGGACCAGGACCAGGGGCAGGACCAGGACCAGGGGCAGGACCAGGACCAGGGGCAGGACCAGGACCAGGGGCAGGACCAGGACCAGGGGCAGGACCAGGACCAGGGACAGGACCAGGACCAGGACCAGGGGCAGGACCAGGACCAGGACCAGGGACAGGACCAGGACCAGGACCAGGACCAGGGGCAGGACCAGGGGCAGGGGCAGGACCAGGGGCAGGACCAGGACCAGGGGCAGGACCAGGACCAGGGGCAGGACCAGGGGCAGGGGCAGGACCAGGGGCAGGGGCAGGGGCAGGGGCAGGCAGACTGTGAGGCTGGAGGCAGGGGGCAGGGGGCAGGGGCAGCAGGACCACTGTGGGGAGACTGAGGACCATTACCCATACCACCCCTACCCTGACCCCAACCCCACCCAGCAGCAAAACGCTGGACGCGGGTGTCTGCTGAGGTAGGGCCTTGCCCACTGTCTCCCTAGCCGGCCTCAACCCACTGATGTCTGGGTCCGAGGAGCTGGGATCACAGGTCTGATCCCCCAGGCCGGTCTGCCACGCCCCACACCCCATGCCCCACCACGCTGGTCTAGGAAGGGAAGCTGGCTGGGCGTGAGCAGTGGCCCTGCCTGTCAGGAGGGGCTCTGCCGCCACAGGAAGCGCCAGCTGCCTGGCGGTGCAACTCCTGCGGCCGGCGCAGTTTCTTCTTTAAAAAAAATAACTCACCCTGCCTCCCCCTTCCAGGAAAACACGCCCTCCGCTCCCTCTCTTCCACTTTCTGGGGGTCCCTGCCCAGCTCCCCTGTCCCCACACCGGCCAGGGAGGCCGCTTGGTCTCTGAGTCAGAGGATGTGACACAGAGGGACATTCCTCCTTAATCTAACGTTGTATGTGATCTGTCCAAAAGAAGGTGGAGGACAAAGTGACTCCCCGAAGAGAAGTGTGTTCAGGGTGCGGTGTTGAGAAATGTCCCCGGGCCCTTCCTGCTGCCCTCCAGAGGTCTTGAGGCCAGGGAGCCCCAGGGGTGCAGGTTGGGGGCACCGGCTGGCAGCCACAGCCTGGGGCAAGGGTTGGGTGGAGTCTGTGGTCGCAGCCTACAGGGAGGCTGGGCTAACGGGCCCTGAGGGCTCTTGCGGGTGGGGGGGGAGCTTGGGGCTCACACCTCCTGCTTCTGAGCCTCTCCCCCAGTGAAGCACTGATCCCTGAGCCACGCACTTCCACAGCCGGGACAGAGCTCGGTCTGCCGCCTCCTCCCCTCCCCCTCCCCTCAGCCTGCACCTGCTCTGGAGGCTGAGATCTGAGGGTCCTGGGTAGAGGCTAGGGAAAGTCTGTGAGACTTTCCAATTAACCACCAAAAAAACAAAAACAACAAAAGCCAGAAGTGGTGCTGTGGCTGTAGAGGTAGAGCTCTAGCCTTGAGCAAGGACAGAGCCCCAGACCCTGAACTCAAGTCCCAGGACCACACCAAAAATAAAACAAAAACCTCAGATTTCTCTTCCTCCTCTTCTAAGTGGGCACAAGATGAGGCAGGGAGGAAGGAGGTCAGAGGGCTTCCACCAGCCTCTCCACAGCGTGGAGGCGTGGTTGTGAGAAACGCCCCCTCTGACGCTGCACCCACAAGCAGGAAGCTGATACGTGCTCGGGCTATTTTTAAAGCTGGGTGGGTGGGTGGTTTTTTGTTTTTCTCCTTGTGGTTTTTATTTATTTAGCGATACTGAGAGTTGAGCTCGGAGCCATACCTGTGCCAAACAGGTGCTGTACCACCGAGCTACAGCTCTACCCCAAGAACAGGACCTTGGAAGCCGTTAGCCGTAACTCCTAGCCGTAACCACCAGAAAACCAGAGTGGCGCTGTGGCTCAAGCAGTAGAGCACCAGCCTTGAGCTGAAGAGCTGAGGGACAGCACCAGGCCCAGAGTTCAAGCCCCACGACCGACCAAAGTAAAGAAAAGAAATAACTGCTAAGGAAGAAATCTTGGACAGCACAAGACCTTCGCTAGTACCATCAAAATAAGTCATAAATATTTTCTTTGCATTATTTTAAGCTACCTGAGTGCAAATTCTGTGTTGGAATTAAATTCTAAAGAAAATGACCATGATTTTTTCCTCTGGGTCAATGTTTTTATCTCATTTTTTATCTATTTTTATTCATATTAACATCGTAGATAAGCCATCTCTTAAGTAGTTTTAATTTAATTTTTAATTACTTTTTTTTTTGCCAGTCCTGGGGCTTGAACTCTGGGCCTGGGCACTGTCCCTGTGCTTCTTTTGCTCAAGGCTAGCGCTCTACCACTTGAGCCACAACATCACTTCCAGCTTTTTCCGTGTAGGTGGTACTGAGGAATGGAACCCAGGGCCTCATGCATGCGAGGCAAGCACTCTACCACTGAGCCACCTTTCCAGCCCATGTAATTTCTTTTTTGTTGTTGGTGGTCATGTGGGTTGAACTCTGGGCCTGGGTGCTGTCCCTCATCTCTTCAGCTCAAGGCGAGCACTCTACCACTTGAGCCACTTCTGTTTTTCTGGCAATTTATTAGAGATAAGAGTCTCATGGACTTTTGTACCCGGGCTGACTTTGAACCATGATCTTCAGATCTCAGACTCCTGAGTAGCTAAGATTATAGGTGTGAGCCACCAGTGCCTGGCTTTAATTACCTTTTTAAGTACTAAAGTATTTTTTTTAAGCCTCACTCTAAATCTGCTCTCCTGATGTTGACCTCTAAATAAGCATGTGCGTATTTGTTTAATTCTCCAGTTGTCCAGTTTAGATATCATCTGCTGATGCTTCTGGGGGGCGGGGGAGGGAGGCAGTACTCAAAAGTTAACTCAGGGTCTACAGCTTGCTGGCCTTGTTCATTCTCCTGGCCAGCTCGCACTGAGTCACACCGCCAGTCCTGCTTTTTGCTGCCTATATTGGAGATGGTCTCACCATCCGCCCGGGCTGGGGCTGGCTTCAAACCTTGACCCTCCTGAGTACGATTACAGGCTGGAGCCGCCAGTGCCCACCATTACCTGCTGCCTTATGATAAATGACAGTTCTGCCTCGCCTCCTCCCATCCTGCCAAGGCATTCCCACGGGGGTCCAGTGCCCGCAAGGGTCCGCTGCAGGCTCCAGACCCCTGCAGGGGTCCACTGCCCGCAGGGGTCCGGTGCCTGTAGGGTGTCCACTGCCTGCAGGGGTCCAGTGCCCACAAGGGTCCAGTGCCTGCAGCAGTCCAGTGCCTGTAGGGGTCCACTGTCCGCAGGGGTCCAGTGCCTGCAGGGGTCCACTGCCCGCAGGGGTCCAGTGCCCGCAGGGGTCCAGTGCCTGCAGGGGTTCACTGCCCATAGGGGTCCAGTGCCCGCAGGGGTCCACTGCCCGCAGGGGTCCACTGCCCACAGGGGTCCACTGCCCGCAGGGGTCAACTGCCTGCAGGGGTCCACGGCCCGCAGGGGTCCAGTGCCTGCAGGGGTCCACTGCCCGCAGGGGTTCACCACCCATAGGGGTCCAGTGCCCGCAGGGGTCCACTGCCCGCAGGGGTCCAGTGCCCGCAGGGGTCCACTGCCCGCAGGGGTCCACTGCCTGCAAGGGTCCACTGCCCGCAGGGGTCCAGTGCCCACAGGGGTCCACTGCCCGCAGGGGTCCACTGCCCACAGGGGTCCACTGCCCACAGGGGTCCAGTGCCTGCAGTGGTCCAATACCCGCAGGGATCCACTGCCCGGAGGGGTCCAGTGCCTGCAGGGGTCCACTGCACACCCGGATCCACTGCCTGCTCCGAGTGTCCTGAGAAGTGAGCGGGCCTTGGGCCTCAAGGCCCGCAGCATGCTCTGGCCCTTAAGGCCCAGGTGGTTGGAGGGAGATCCTGAATCCAGGCTCTGCACCACCCCAAGAACTGTTAGCATTCCAACGTCCCCGGGACCCTCTCCTCGGCTGGGCAGAGGAAGGGTGTGGGAAGATGTCCCCAGAGTGAGCGGGTAGGCTGGGCTGCGGGCTGCTGCGTGGCTCTCCCTCCCGCGCTGCCTTCCCAGGTATTGACCACCTTCTCTTCCCACAGGGCCTGCGCTGCGCCGTGCAGAGCAGTAAGTTCTCCATTTCCTTCCCTTGTGCCTCAGGGACCCCGACAATGCCGCCCTTCCCTCCTGCACCCCGTCTCCACAGCATTTCCCCGGAACCCACCCCCAGCGCCCCGTGAACCCACCCCCAGCGCCCCCTGAACCCACCCCCAGCGCCCCCTGAACCCACCCCCAGCGCCCCCTGAACCCACCCCCCAGCACCCCCTGAACCCACAGAGCCCCGCCCCAGGATCCCTCCCCAGAACCCACCCCCAACGCCCCCTGAAGCCACAGAGCCCTGCCCCAGGGTCCTTCCCCAGAACCCACCCCCAGCGCCCCCTGAACCCACGGAGCCCCGCCCCAGGTCCCTCCCCAGAACCCATCCCCAGAATCCCCTGAAGCCACAGAGCCCTGCCCCAGGGTCCCTCCCCAGAACCCACCCCCAGCGCCCCCTGAACCCACGGAGCCCCGCCCCGGGGTCCCTCCCCAGAACCTACTCCCCAGCACCCCCTGAACCCACCCCCAGCACTCCCTGAACCCAACCCCAGCGCCCCCTGAACCCACAGAGCCCCGCCCCAGGGTCCCTCCCCAGAACCCACCCCCAGCGCCCCCTGAACCCACGGATCCCCGCCCTGGGATCCCTCCCCAGAACCCACCCCCAGCGCCCCCTGAACCCACGGAGCCCCGCCCCGGGGTCCCTCCCCAGAACCTACTCCCCAGCACCCCCTGAACCCACCCCCAGCGCCCCCTGAACCCACCCCCAGCGCCCCCTGAACCCACAGAGCCCCACCCCGGGGTCCCTCCCCAGAACCCACCCCCAGCGCCCCCTGAACCCACGGAGCCCCGCCCCGGGGTCCCTCCCCAGAACCTACTCCCCAGCACCCCCTGAACTCACCCCCAGCGCCCCCTGAACCCACCCCCAGCGCCCCCTGAACCCACCCCCAGCGCCCCCTGAACCCACCCCCAGCGCCCCCTGAACCCACAGAGCCCCGCCCTGGGATCCCTCCCCAGAACCCACCCCCAGCGCCCCCTGAACCCACGGAGCCCTGCCCCGGGGTCCCTCCCCAGAACCTACTCCCCAGCACCCCCTGAACCCACCCCCAGCGCCCCCTGAATCCACGGATCCCCGCCCTGGGATCCTTCCCCAGAACCCACCCTCAGCACCCCCTGAACCCACGGAGCCCTGCCCCGGGGTCCCTCCCCAGAACCTACTCCCCAGCACCCCCTGAAGCCACGCCAGCACAGTGGCCTCTGGGCACCGCCCTCAGCTGCGCGCCCTCCTCCCCGGCTCCCAGGTTCCTGCCTGGACGACAGCTGGGTCCATCCTCGGAACCTGACGCCCTCCTCCCCCAAGCTCATGAGGACCCAGCTGGGCGTGGCCCTCACTGGGCATGGAGACCGCGTCCCTGTGCTGCTCATCCAGTGGGCCCTGCAGACGGACGGTGAGTGGGGGCCAGCAGTCTGGGGCCTGTGGCTGCCACCGCCCACAGACAGACGGCGCGGCGGTTCTTCCGTCCAGACTGGGCCCTGGGCTGACTGAATCCACCACTGCAGTTGCAGCCGGCCCGTGTCCATCCCACGCCCCTCCACGGAACACCCCACATTTTAACCGCCACACTACGAACTCGGGAACCCGTTGGCTGCCCAGGGCGAGAACTTTCTGAGGCAACCCCGCGCCTCTCGGGCTGGGACCCAGGCTGTGTCCTGAGCCCGCGTGCTCACGCCCGCCCTGGTGTGGGGCCGCTGCCCTCCACGCGAGGACCCTGAGGACTGGCCCTCGGCCCCGGCCAGCCGAGCAGCCTCCGTCTGCAAAGCAGGGTCAGGGGAGCAGGCAGGACGGGAAGTGTGGGTGCAGGGACCGGGGCAGGGGGGGGGGGGCGAGGCCTGCCCGGTGCCGCGCGCGCGCGCTGACGCCCCTCCTCCACCTCCAGCCAGCATCCTCTACCTGGAGGGCACGGAGCTCTCCGTCCTGCAGCTGAGCACCAACGAGCAGCTGTGTGTCAAGTTCCAGTTCCTGTCCAGGCTGCAGCACCATCACAAGCGGGTACGGAGAGGGAAGCCTGGCGCAGGGCTGTAACCCAGCAACACGGGGAGGCACACGGGAAGACCTGAGCCCGGGCTGGCCAGGGCACAGAGCAAGACCTGACCTTGGGAGTCACAAGTGAGAAGGGACTGGGGCTGGCCCCGGTGGCTCACGCCTGTCACCTAGGTCTGAGGGTCAGAGTTCAAATCTGAAAGATTCTCATCTGAAAGAAGTGGAGCTGTGGCGCAAGTGGTAGAATGCCAGCCTTGAGCCAAAAACAGCTCAGAGGAGGCACCCAGGTCCTGAGTTCAAGGCCCACCTACCCGAGAAAAGGAAGCTGGAGTCTTCCGTACACGTCCACCTGGAAGATAACACACAGACGTGCCCACCTGCCTGCCTGCAGCACAGGTTCACACACGTGCACGCGCATGCACACACGCACACATGCACACGCGCACACGCACGCATACACACAAGCACGCACACATGCACACGCACGCACATGTGCACACATGCACATGCACGCTCACACACGCACGCACATGCACAAGCATGCACACATGCACACGTACAAGCACACGCACACATGCACAAGCACAGGCACGCACACACACATGCACAAGCACACACGCATGTGCGCACACGCATGCGCACATGCACACGCACGCACACATGCACGCACATGTGCACATACACATGCACACGCACGCATGCACACGCACGCACACATGCACACGCACGCACACATGCACACGCACGCACACATGCACATGCACGCTCTGGGACCTTCTCCGGAGCTGGAAGCACGCCCCACGGCTCCCCCTCCCCTCCATCCCCTCGCATCCCTCCTTCGCCTCAGATTTCAGTTTTCTCACTAGAAAGGCAATGAGACTCCATCTAGGGAGAAGAGAGGCATATTGTAGACAGTGCCCGCTCTGGGTGGGGTGGGGTCTCACTCCTGTTTTGGGGAGAGGTGGGGGGCTTATCCCATCTCCCTCCCTCCTTCCCTCCCCTCCCTGTCCCATCCTCCCTCTCTTCCCTCCTCCCTGCCCTCCCTTCTTCCCTACCCCCTCCTCCTTGCCCTCCCTTCTGCCCTCCCCCTCCCCCCTGCCCTCCTCCTCCTCCCTGCCTGCCCTCCTGCCCTCCCCCCTGCCCTCCCCTCTGCTCTCCCTCTCCCCCCTGCCCTCCCCACAGTGGCGGTTCAGCTTTGAGCACTTCGTGGTGGACCCTGCGGAGGAGTACGAGGTGACGGTGCACAACCTGCCCAAGCCCTTCCCTGACGGGGACCCCAACCATCAGTCCAGGAGAGTGGTGGTGCCTGGTAAGAGGCCCCGGACCCAGCCCAGGAGAGGCCTCCTCCGGGAGCTGCACCGGCCCCTGGGCCCCGCCCTCTGCCTCAGTCTACCCTGCCCCGTGCACACCGCCCGGGCCCTGCCCATCCCCGCTGCCCACACACAGGGCTGGCCTTGGGTCCACCTGTCGGTGAACACCCAGAGCCTTGCACGCGCGCCGGCCTGGCGCGAAAGGTGCCAGGAACGGTCCCTGCTCTGCCGTCTGCTGTGGTGTGGGGCGCAGGCTTCGCGTGCGCCCCGTGAGCGCTCACCCTGAGCCCGGGGACTCAGGCTGTGCTTGTCCCGACGGTGAACTGACCTGAAGCCCGCTCCCCAGCCGCTCAGCCGCCGCGTGGCCCGCAGCGCGCTGCCGCTCACACCAGCGCCCTCCCCCCCGCCCCAGCGCCCTCCCCCCCGCCCCGCGTGCTGCTCACACCAGCGCCCTCCCCCCCGCCCCAGCGTCGTCCCCCCCGCCCCGCCTGCTGCTCACACCAGCGCCCTCCCCCCGCCCCGCGTGCTGCTCACACCAGCGTCCTCCCCCCGCCCCGCGTGCTGCTCACACCAGCGCCCGCCCCCCACCCCAGCGTCCTCCCCCCGCCCCGCGTGCTGCCGCTCACACCAGCGCCCTCCCCCCACCCCAGCGTCCTCCCCCCGCCCCGCGTGCTGCTCACACCAGCGCCCCGCCCCCCACCCCAGCGTCCTCCCCCCCGCCCCGCGTGCTGCTCACACCAGCGCCCTCCCCCCACCCCAGCGCCCTCCCCCCGCCCCGCGTGCTGCTCACACCAGCGCCCTCCCCCCCGCCCCAGCGTCCTCCCCCCCGCCCCGCGTGCTGCTCACACCAGCGCCCTCCCCCCGCCCCAGCGTCCTCCCCCCCCGCCCCGCGTGCTGCTCACACCAGCGCCCTCCCCCCGCCCCGCGTGCTGCCGCTCACACCAGCGCCCTCCCCCCGCCCCGCGTGCTGCCGCTCACACCAGCGCCCTCCCCCCCGCCCCGTGTGCTGCCGCTCACACCAGCGCCCTCCCCCCGCCCCACGTGCTGCTCACACCAGCGCCCTCCCCCCCGCCCCGTGTGCTGCCGCTCACACCAGCGTCCTCCCCCCGCCTGGGCGTCCAGGCCGCAGAGGAGGCTTCCGTGCCTCCCCCCTCGCCTGGTGACGCCCTGTCCCGTCCCCGCCGCGGGCCTCCACTGTCCTGGCTCTGGCCGGGCTGCGCGGGGTGCCGGCCGCAGCGGGGACTCAACGCCGCCCCCTGCTGGGTGTTTGCAGGCTGCCAGGACTCCATGATGAAGACAACCACACCCTGTGTGAGCGCAGGCAAGTGCTGCCCAGAGACCCTTCCCTGTGCCCAGAGACCCTTCCCTGAGCCCAGAGACCCTTCCCCGCTCCCAGAGACCCTTCCCCACGCCCAGAGACCCTTCCCCGTGCCCAGAGACCCTTCCCCCGCGCCCAGAGACCCTTCCCCGTGCCCAGAGACCCTTCCCCGAGCCCAGAGACCCTTCCCCGCGCCCAGAGACCCTTCCCCGCCCAGAGACCCTTCCCCGCGCCCAGAGACCCTTCCCCGCGCCCAGAGACCCTTCCCCGTGCCCAGAGACCCTTCCCTGAGCCCAGAGACCCTTCCCTGTACCCAGAGACCCTTCCCCGTGCCCAGAGACCCTTCCCTGCGCCCAGAGACCCTTCCCTGCGCGCCCAGAGACCCTTCCCTGCGCCCAGAGACCCTTCCCTGCGCCGAGACCCTTCCCTGCGCCCAGAGACCCTTCCCTGCGCGCCCGCGCTCCCACATACCTGCAGGTCTGCGGAGACCTCCCACCCACCCCCCCCCACACACACACACCCGCGGGTCTGTGGGGTGAGATGTGGGTCTGTGGGGTGAGATCACACCCGCGGGTCTGTGGGGTGAGACCCCCCCCCCCCCGGGCACGCCCGCGGGTCTGCGGACACCTCACCCCCCACCCCGCGCCCGTGTCCCCGGCAGGCAGCCTGTGGGACCCCGGCATCACCGTGGAGATCCTGGAGGCCGGGCAGCTGCGGGTGGGCTTCACCCTGTGGAACGAGTCCACCCCGTACCATGTCCTGCTCAGAAGCCTTCCCGGCTCGGAGAACCAGAGCTGCGGGGAGCAAGGACAGCCGGTGCCCGCGGTAACCACAAAGCGGATCCCAGCCCCCTCCCCCACACCCGGCCCCTCCCCCACACCCAGGCCCTCCCCCACACCCTGCCCCTCTCCCCCACCCAAACCCCTCCCCTACACCCGGCCCCGCCCCATACCCAGGCCCTCCCCCACACCCAGCCCCCTCCCCCACACCCGGCCCCTCCTGAGCCCTGGTCGCGTCCCCATTTCCGGCTCCTCAGGGTTCCTTGCTGTGGGTGGAGCAGCTGGTTGGGCCCGGCCCCCTCCGCGGCCCCTGCCGCCCCAGCCCTGCGCCCCCACCGCCCCAGCCCCGCGCCCCCCGCCCTGTCTGTGTGGCTGTGTCTGTTCTACTTGCCTTTTCTCTGTTGCTTATTTTTGGCAGATGGGGATTGCACTGGGGGCCTGGGCTTGCTCCGAAGCTGCTCTACCGCTTGAGCCACACCCCCAGCCCATTGAACTCGGCCTGGGTGCTGTCCCAGGCTAATGCTCTACCGCTTCAGCCACAGCACAACTTGTAGCTTTGTTGTTGTTGTTGGCTGTTTCTCAGGGTAGGGCCTGTCTCTGTGCCCTGACTGGCTTGGACAGTGATCCCCCTGCTTGCGCTTCCCTGTGGCTGGACGCAGGCCTGTGCACTCCCCAGCCAGGGATGGAGATGAGTCCTGCAGGCCTCAGGGAGAGATCCTCCGTCTCTGCCTTGCTTTGCCACCTGACCTGGCTAATTTGCCCCACTTCTAAAAAAGGACTTACAGATCTAACACTGAAACTTGGAGACGTAAGAGGAGGATGAGTCTAGTTAGTGCCGTGCTTCTCACACCCCTATGTGTCAGACCCAAGGCCCGGGCCTCCCCCCTGCCCCAGGCCTGGGACTGACAGCTCCTACACCTGCCTCCTCCCGTGCCCGCCTCGTGCCCACACCTTTCCCCCTCCGGCCTCCTGTGGGCCAGGTGGTCTGTGAGGGGGCCCATCCCCACGGAGAGCCCGTCCCCACTGAGGGCCCGTCCCCACAGAGGGCCTGTCCCCACGGAGGCCTGTCCCCACGGAGGGCCTGTCCCCACGGAGGGCCTGACCCCCATGACTTCCTTGTGCATGTCCCCAGCAAGCAAGCTCTGACCCACTGAGAACTTTACACTCCTCCTCTCCTCCAGCCCAGACAAGAGCAGTTCCACCAGCGAAGCAATGTCACCTTCGCTCTGTCCGACGTCCAACGGTGCTGTCTCCACCAGGTCCAGGTGGGTGTGCACGGGTGTGGGGGTGTGCACGGGTGTGGGGGGTGTGCATGGTGGGGATGTGCACGGGTGTGGGGCTGTGCACGGGTGTGGGGGTGTGCACAGGCGCGGAAGCGTGCACAGGCATGGGGGCGTGCATGGGCGTGGGGGTGTGCACGGGTGTTGGGAGTATGCATGGTGGGGGTGTGCATGGGTGTGGGGGTGTGCATGGGTGTCGGGGGTGTGCATGGGTGTCGGGGGTGTGCATGGGTGTCGGGGGTGTGCATGGTGGGGGTGTGCATGGTGGGGATGTGTACGGGCGTGGGGGTGTGCATGGTGGGGGTGTGCATGCTGGGGGCGTGTATGGTGGGGGTGTGCATGGTGAGGGTGTGCACGGGCGTGGGGGTGTGCATGGTGGGGGTGTGCACAGGCGTGGGGGTGTGCATGGTGGGGGTGTGCACGGGCGTGGGGGTGTGCATGGTGGGGGTGTGCACAGGCGTGGGGGTGTGCATGGTGGGGGTGTGCGTGGTGGGGGTGTGCACGGGCGTGGGGGGTGTGCATGGTGAGGGCGTGCACAGGCATGGGGGTGTGCACAGGCGTGGGGGCGTGCACGGGTGAGGGCGGTGTTCACACTGCAGAGTGAAGTCGCAGGGAAGGCCCACAGCCAGGTGCCCCACAGCCAGCTCCCCTGGCCGCCCCTCTCCTGGGGCCTCGTGTGGACCGGACCCCAGTCCAGCAGCCACGGCGTGGGGGGGGGGGGTCTTGGTCTTAGGCCTTTGGGAAAGTCTGGGGTTTGAACACAGCGTCTCTGACTTGCTAGTCAGGCGCTCTGTCCCCTGAGCCACGCCGTTGTCTCTCCCTGTGTTGCTTTAGTTGCTTTTCAGTTAGGGCAGCCTGGGCCATGGTCTTCCCTATGTGTACCTCCCATGCAGCCGGAACCACAGACGTGCACCCCTACGCCTGGCTTGCTGGTTGAGATAAGGTTTCACTAGCCTTTTTCCCAGGCTGGCCTTGAACCCCCGGCAGCCGGGATCCCAGGTGCCATCTGCCCTGGCCGCCTTTCTGCACAGCGTTGCTCCGGCTGTGCTGAAATCGGGCTCAAGCAGCCCCACTGCCTCGGCCTCCAGAGTTACTGAACCACAGGCGTCACCACCACAGCCCAGCCTCTTGACACCCGGCCTCCCCTCCCCCAGATCCAGCCCTTCTTCAGCAGCTGCCAGACCGACTGCTTGAGACACGCAGTGACGGTGCCCTGCCCCGAGCCCCCGCCCACCCCAGGTAGGAGCCCTGTCCATCCCAAGCCCCCGCCCACCCCAGGTAGGAGCCCTGTCCATCCCAAGCCCCCACCCACCCCAGGTAGGAGCCCTGTCCGACCCGACCCGAGCCCCCGCCCACCCCAGGTAGGAGCCCTGTCCATCCCGAGCCCCCGCCCACCCCAGGTAGGAGCCCTGTACCTCCTGAACCCCCACCCACCCCAGGTAGGAGCCCTGTCCATCCCGAGCCCCCGCCCACCCAGGTAGGCGCCCTGTCCATCCCAACCCGAGCCCCCACCCACCCAGGTAGGAGCCCTGTCCATCCGGAGCCCCCGCCCACCCCAGGTAGCCCTGTCCATCCTGATCCCTCCCCCACCCCAGGTAGGAGCCCTGTCCATCCCGAGCCCCCCCCCACCCCAGGTAGGAGCCCTGTCCATCCCGAGCCCCCCCACTCCAGGTAGGAGCCCTGTCCATCCCGAGCCCCCCCCACCCCAGGTAGGAGCCCTGTCCATCCCGAGCCCCCCCCACCCCAGGTAGGAGCCCTGTCCATCCCGAGCCCCCGCCCACCCCAGGTAGGAGCCCTGTCCATCCCAAGCCCCCACCCACCCCAGGTAGGAGCCCTGTCCATCCCTGCCCCGAGCCCCCGCCCACTCAGGTAGGAACCCTGTCCATCCCTGCCCCAAGCTCCCGCCCACTCAGGTAGGAACCTTGTCCATCCCTGCCCCGAGCTCCCGCCCACTCAGGTAGGAGCCCTGTCCCTCCCGAGCCCCCGCCCACCCCAGGTAGGAGCCCTGTCCATCCCGAGCCCCCGCCCACCCCAGGTAGGAGCCCTGTCCATCCCGAGCCCCCCCCACCCCAGGTAGGAGCCCTGTCCATCCCGAGCCCCCGCCCACCCCAGGTAGGAGCCCTGTCCATCCCGAGCCCCCACCCACCCCAGGTAGGAGCCCTGTCCATCCCTGCCCCGAGCCCCCGCCCACTCAGGTAGGAACCCTGTCCATCCCTGCCCCAAGCTCCCGCCCACTCAGGTAGGAACCTTGTCCATCCCTGCCCCGAGCTCCCGCCCACTCAGGTAGGAGCCCTGTCCCTCCCGAGCCCTGTCCATCCCGAGCCCCCGCCCACCCCAGGTAGGAGTCCTGTCCATCCCAAGCCCCCCCCACCCCAGGTAGGAGCCCTGTCCATCCCGAGCCCCCGCCCACCCCAGGTAGGAGCCCTGTCGGTCCCTGACCGCGGGGGACGTCACATGGCCTGCCCGGGCCCTCATGGCGGGCCAGGCCCTGCTGGAGCGTGTGGGGGATGAGTGCACGCTTCCCCCTTCCTCCTCAGTCATGGGAGACCGCGGCGGCAGGAAACCCCCTCCCTCCCCCCTGGCCCCGGGCAGAGGGAGGCCTCCCTCCGAGGCTCAAGGGCTCTGTGGACACTTGGGTCTGGTCAGCGGAGGTCTGAGGAGAGGGCCGGGCTGCGGTCCTGCTGATACTCAAGAGCAATATTCCCCCTCCCCCCCCATGCTGTTGCAGAGTCCTTTGCAGGTAAGCGCGGGGGGGGGGGGGGGGGGGGGAGGGGAGCCTGCAGGGGTGCAGGCTGCCGGAGCGCGCTCACTCTCTCCTCCTACCGCAGACCGCGTCCCCCTGTGGGTGTACGGCCTCATCACGGGCACCGCTGTGCTGCTGGTGGCCTCCGTCCTCCTGCTGGCCGTCTGCATGACCTGGAAGCTCTCGGGTAAGGCACAGAGGCGGGAGCACATGACCAGGCCGCCCGCCCGCCCGCCCGCCCGCCCGCCCACGCAGCCCTGCCGGCCCAGCCCAGCCCGCCCACCTGCGCAGCCCTGCCACACGCCCAGGCCACCCTCCCGCGCAGCCCTGCCGGCCCAGCCCAGCGTGGACCAGGCCCTGCTCGCGTAGCTCAGCCAGCGTCACTAAGACCAGCGGTGCGAGGATCCCCCTGGCATGAACAGCCCCTTCCTGAACCCCAGACTTGTCTATCCCAGATCAGAGGGGACAGCCGCATGTGGTGGAGAGGGTCGGGTCCAGACCCGCATCTCACCCATGTGGCCCCCGGCCCCACCTCCCTGGCTTTGCAGCCATGGGACGATTCTCTAACAAACCTTAGGTTCTGTCTTCTGTGAGATTGGGGGACAGGGCCCCCCCCCCAGGGCAGAGGCAGGGCTGTAGGTTCCTGGCACCCCCCACACCATGACGGTTAGGTGTGAATCATTAGGGATTGCTGTGTGTCTCAGGGTCGGTGTGAATCATTGGGGATTGATGCATGTCTACGGGATCTAGTGTGAATCATTGGGGATTGCTGTGTGTCCCAGGATCAGGTGTGAATCATTGGAGGCTGTTGTGTGTCCACAGGATAGGGTGTGAATTGTTGTTGGAGATTGCTGTGTGTCCTGGGGTCCAGTGTGAATCATTGGAGATTGCTGTGTGTCCACAGCTGCTTTCGGAGCCGCGGCGCTCCCTGGCCGCCTGCCGGGTCTCGCAGGGGCCAGAGGACGCCTGGTGTCGGCCAGGTGGTCTTGGCCCGCCGACGGATGCCCAGTGTCAGCTGGGTGGTCTTAGCCCGCCAGAGGACGCCGGTGTCGGCCGGGTGGTCTCGCAGGGGCCGGAGACGCCGGTGTCGGCCGGTGGTCTCTCTTGGCCCGCTGGAGGCGCCGGTGTCGGCCGAGTGGTCTCGCAGGGGCCGGAGGACGCTGGTGTCGGCCAGGTGGTCTCTCTCTGCCCGCCGGAGGATGCCGGTGTCGGCCGGGTGGTCCCGGCCCGCCGGAGGACGCCGGTGTCAGCCGGGTGGTCTCTCTCGGCCTGCCAGAGGCGCCGGTGTCGGCCGGGTGGTCTCTCTTGGCCCGCTGGAGGCGCCGGTGTCGGCCGAGTGGTCTCGCAGGGGCCGGAGGATACCGGTGTCTGCCGGGTGGTCTCGCAGGGGCCGGAGGATGCCGGTGTCGGCCAGGTGGTCTCGCAGGGGCCGGAGACGCTGGTGTCGGCCGGGTGGTCTCTCTCGGCCCGCCGGAGGACGCCCGGCCCTGTCTCCGCAGCCTCTCCCCAGTGGGTTCTTTCTTCCACAGGGTCTCACCACGGGAAGCACGGTGACCAGAGCAAGCGCACAGGTCAGTGCCCTGGCCACGCGGGGCGGAGCGGGGTCCACGCAGAGGACACGGAGCAGACGCGAGGGGTGTACCGGACCCCATCTCTACCCCATGGTGGGGAGGGTCAGCGAGCACTGCGTGCAGAGGACGCAGGCCTCACAGACAGCCCTGTGCCTTGGCTGACGCCCGTGCGGGTGGCTCAGCATGGAATCCCAGCTGCTCGGGAGGCTGAGATTTGAGGATCGCGGTTCAGAGCCAGCCCCAGCAGCAAAGTCTGTGAGACTCAACTCCAGTGAGCCACGAGAAAACCAGAAGTAGTGCTGTGGCTCAAGTGGTAGAACGCTCGCCTTGAGCTGAAGAGCTCAGGGACAGCGTCCAGGCCCTGAGTTCAAGACCCACAGTTGACAAAAAAGAAAGCACCTGTCTTGAGGCTTAGCTCAAATGGTAAAGCACCCTCAATGAGCCAGCCCCCAGAGGGGGGGGCCCCAGAAACAGCACAAAGCAAATTCATCTACATACAGCCAGGGGTCAGGTGGGAAATGGAGGGTGCTTTTCACACAAGGCAGAGACTGGGTTTTCTCAGGCAGGGCAGGCAGCGCCCAGCAGCAGCTTCTAGCCCAGTCTAGCTCCGTCTAGCTCCGTCTAGCTCCGTGTAGCCCCGTCCAGCTCCATCTAGCCCCGTCCAGCCCCGTCTAGCCCCGTCCAGCCCCGTCTAGCCCCGTCCAGCCCCGTCTAGCTCCGTCTAGCCCCGTCCAGTCCCGTCTAGCCCCGTATAGCTCCATGTAGCCCCGTCCAGCCCCATCTAGTCCCGTCTAGCTTCGTCTAGCTCTATCTAGACCCGTCCAGCTCCGTCTAGCCCCGTCTAGCCTCGTCTAGCCCCGTCCAGTCCCATCTAGCCCGGTCTAGCCCTTGTAGGAGGCTGCCTGCTCTCCCCGCCCTGGGGCCGGCCAGCAGCGCAGAGGGCCCTGGGTGTGAGTCCACCTGCTCCCCTGTCTCCACAGACGTCCAGCCCGCCGTGGACCTGACCCCGCGGCTGCTGAAGCCCAGGAAGGTCTGGATCGTCTACTCGGCCGACCACCCCCTCTACGTGGACGTGGTCCTCAAGTTCGCCCAGTTCCTGCTCACGGTCTGCGGCACCGAGGTGGCCCTGGACCTCCTGGAGGAGCAGACCATCTCGGAGGTGGGGGTGCTGAGCTGGGTGGGGCGCCAGAAGCAGGAGGCGGCCGAGGGCGGCTCCAAGATCATCATCCTGTGCTCCCGAGGCTCCAGGGCCAAGTGGCAGGCCATGCTGGGCGGGGCAGGGCCGGCCGTGCAGCTGCGCTGCGAGCACCAGCGGCCGGCCGGAGACCTCTTCACAGCCGCCATGAACGTCATCCTGCCCGACTTCAAGAAGCCGGCCTGCTTCGGCGCCTACATCATCTGCTACTTCAGCGACCTCAGCGGGGAGCAGGACGTGCCGGACCCATTCCGCATCACCTCCAGGTACCCGCTCATGGCCGGCTTCGAGGACGTCTACTTCCGCATCCAGGACCTGGAGATGTTCGAGCCGGGCCGCATGAACCGCGTCGGGGAGCTGGCCGGGGACAACTACCTGCGGAGCCCCAGCGGCCAGCAGCTGGCCCAGGCTGTGGAGCGCTTCCGCAGGTGGCAGGCCCGGTGCCCGGGCTGGTTTGAGCGGGAGAGCCTCTGCGTGTCCGACGGTGCGGAGGTGGACGCGGACCCGTGGCTGGACGCAGACACGGACCCGTGGCTGGACGCGGAGCTGTGTGGAGGGCCGCCGCCGCCCGGGCCCGCCGTGGTCAAGCAGACGCCGCTGGCACGGGAGCCGGCCCCCGCGGGCGGCCTGGCCCTGGCCCTCCACCTGCCCCCCGCGGGGCGGGGCCCGGCCAGGCTGGAGCCCCGGCTGCCGCCCGAGGGGACGCCGGCCGCCCAGGCCCTGCGGGCCTCAGTGCTCCCCGTGGAGGGGGTCCCCGCGGCCCACACGGTGGAGCCCCTGCCCCCCGCCACCACCACCTATGCAGCCCGCCGGCTGGCCGGGCTAGGGGACCCCGAGGCCCACCCCCTCCTCCCGGTGGCCACCCCGGACCGGCCCCTGGAGGGGGAGGACGTGCGGGAGCAGCTGGAGAGCCTGAGGCTGGCCCTGCTGTGCGGCTGGGCCCCGGGGGACCCCTCCGAGGAGGAGCAGCGGCAGTCCCTGCAGTCCGACCAGGGCTACATCTCCAGGAGCTCGCCGCAGCCCCCGGACGGGCTCCTGGACATGGAGGAGCCGGGCCCGGGCCCGGGCACGCCCGCCCCACCGCTCTCGGCCGAAGACCTGCAGAGCCTGCGGCACCTGCAGCAGCAGCTGCTCTTCCAAGAGCTGAGCAAGAGCCGGGGCTGGGGCAGCGCGGGGGCCCAGAGGCCAGAGGCCGGGGACAGCCCCGTCCCGCCCCCACCCTGAGAGGACACACAGCCCCCCCCCCCACCCTGACAGGACACACGGACAGCCCCGCCCCACCCTGAGAGGACACACGGACAGCCCCGCCCCGCCCCCACCCTGACAGGACACACGGACAGCCCCGCCCCGCCCCCACCCTGACAGGACACACAGACAGCCCCGGCCCGCCCCCACCCTGACAGGACACACGGACAGCCCCGGCCCACCCCCACCCTGACAGGACACACGGACAGCCCCGCCCCGCCCCCACCCTGACAGGACACACGGACAGCCCCGCCCCCACCCTGAGAGGACACACGGACAGCCCGCCCCGCCCCCACCCTGACAGGACACACGGACAGCCCCGCCCCGCCCCCACCCTGACAGGACACACGGACAGCCCCGCCCCACCCTGACAGGACACACGGACAGCTCCGCCCCACCCTGACAGGACACACGGACAGCCCCGCCCCACCCTGACAGGACACACGGACAGCTCCGCCCCACCCTGACAGGACACACGGACAGCCCCGCCCCACCCTGACAGGACACACGGACAGCCCCGCCCCCACCCTGACAGGACACACGGACAGCCCCGCCCCCACCCTGACAGGACACACGGACAGCTCCGCCCCGCCCCCACCCTGACAGGACACACGGACAGCCCCCACCTCCGTCCCCACCCTGACAGGACACATGGACAGCCCCGCCCTGAGAGGATACACAGACAGCCCCCCACACCCTGACAGGACACATGGACAGCCCCCCCCATCCTGACAGGACACACGGACAGCCCCGCCCCCCGTCCCCACCTCGAGAGGCAGGGTGCACACATGGTGGATGCCTGTGGTCCCAGCCCGGGGGAGGCTGAGTCAGGAGTTTGAGCCATGAGCAGGTTCTGAGGGGCAGAGCCAGGCTCAGGGAAGGACAGATGGCCTCTGTCACCTCCTTCCATTCTGACCCAGCCCTGTAAGAAGCCACCAGCTCGTGTCTTACAGGGGGGTTGTCCCAGCCCCTGCCAGGCTCGGCAGGCCAGCCCTGCTCCCCGCCACTCTCCACCCGCTCTGTCCCGGCCGCTCCCCGCCCACTCTGCCCTGGCCAGCTCCCTGCCCGCTCTGCCCCGGCTGCTCCCCGCCCACTCTGTCTTGGCCAGCTCCCTGTCCGCTCTGTCCTGGACAGCTCCCTGCTTGCTCTGCCCTGGACAGCTCCCTGCCCGCTCTGCCCTGGCCGCTCCCTGCCCGCTCTGCCCTGGACAGCTCCCTGCTTGCTCTTCCTCCCTCTTTGCCTCCTCCTGGCAGGCGTAGGTGTGGCCACTGCATCACACAGGAGGGAAACCGCCCACACGGGCCAGGTGGCCGCCACAGACCCAGCAGCCTGGGGCTCAGGCTCCTCCTCCCGAGGCCCAGGTCTCGGTCCTCGCTGGGACTGCGTGGAAGGCCGGCGGCCAGGCCGGGCCTCCTCAGCCTCCGGGAGCCCCATCCCTTCTAGCATCCCACCCAGCCAGGTCCCCGCCTCCCTCGCTCTGCTGTCTTCCCTGCTTCAGGGTGGCCATGCTCCAAGGCTCCTGCAGTATTCCCCACAAGGAATCTGACTTCCTCACTGTGCCTTTTAAGAACTCACACCTATCATCCCAGAGACTCAGGAGGCTGAGATCTGAGGATCACGGCTCAAAGCCAGCCCTGGCGGGAAAGTCCAAGAGACTCTGATCTCCAGTGAACTACGAGAAAACTAGAAGTGGCGCTGTGGCTCAAGTGGTAGAACGCCCGCCTTGAGCTGAAGAACTCAGGGATAGCGCCCAGGCCCAGAGTTCAACACCTACAACCAACAACAACAAAGGACCAGTACATAACTCAGTAAATCTCTTTGATGACAAACCCGGGCTAGCCTGGTGTGGTCTATAATCCCAGCTACTCTGGAGATGAGCATGGGGAAGGTCATGGTTTGAGGCCAGTTGGGGCCGAGAGTTGTTGAGACCCCATCTTCACAAAACCAGACAAGTGGCGTGGTGTGAATCTGTCATCCCGGCTGCGTAGAGGATCCCTGTCCGGACTGCCCCAGGCCAAAAGCAAAAGCCAACCCAAAACAGCAGCCTGCCGCCGCCAGGGCGTAACTGGAGCGGTAGGGCTCCAGACCAGCAAGCGTGAGGCCCCGAGTTCAAACCCCACCTCACCATGGTGATTTCAGATCCGCTGGGGTTGATGCTTCGGCTGGAGCGGGAGTGACAGAGTGGAGGACAGCTCAGCACTCGCCGAAGTCCCCCTACGCGGAGGGACATCACTCGAGCTCCAGTCGGGTTTGAGACCAGCCCGGGCACCCTCGCTGGGCTTCGCCTCCAGCAGGGAAGCCGGCGCAGTGCTGTCCCCTGGGGTCAGCTGAGCCGCGGATGCCCACGCGCCGGGCGTCAGCCCCGGCAGCAGTCCCCTCTCCCGCAGCGCTGGCAGACGCCGCCCACCCAACGCAAGGACCCAGGGTGGAAGCCAGGATGGGAACGATCGTAAACCACACAGGAAGCTTGTCACAGGTCCCAAATTTGGGGGGATGCTTCCCCCCCCCCCAGAAAAGTCTGGCTTTATTTTTAAAAAGAGAAAGGAGGAGGAAAGTGTGATAAAGGCGTGAGATGCACGTCAGCCCTGCCAGCCTTCTCCATCAAAAAAAACACATCCGACTGCCAGGGCCTTGCGGGACCCGCGCACGTCTGAAATCTCAGTCCCTCGGGAGGCTGAGGCGGGAGCATCACTGGAGCCCAGGAGCTCAGGACCAGCCTGGACCAGACCGTGCGTCCCAGACGCCTCTGACAGCAAACACCCCGGGGGCCGGTCCAGAGGAGCAGGTCGGGTGGGGGCTGGCTTGGCGGTGAGCATTTGCCTGGCATGCAGGAGGCCCTGGGTCCCGTCCCAGCACCTCACGGAGGAGATGGTGACCCCTCTGGACGACGCCTTAAAAATAACGAAACGGCTTTTAAAAGTAAAACCAGATCAAAGTTGGGGCTCAGATAAAGACCCCCCTCTTCCATGCCGAAATGCTGCGAGCAGATGGTGGCCCCCCCCACTCACAAGACCCTGTCCTGAAAACTCTAGAAAGTCAGGGAAAGAGGTCTTCAGGGCCATTTCTTACCGTGAGAGGGACTGGCGGGGGGGGGGGGGGGGGCGGCTAGGTGGAGTTCTCCCACAGTGCAGAGAGGGTGCCCAGGCAGCTGGGCCTCAGTTGGCCCTGTAGCAAGGCCGCAGCTCCCCCACCACCAGACAGCACTGTGGGGGGGATCCCCGGGGGCGGACGGGCATGGCTCAGATGACACGTCACAGTCTGACATTAGGTAGTAGAGAGACAGTAAAGCTGGAGAGAGGATCTGAGAACAACGCAAGCAGCTGCGGGCCCCAGAACCTGGCACGGAACTGGACCCCAGGCAGAGCGAGAACCAGGTCTCGGGCTGGGCAGGTGGCTCAGCGGTAGCGCGCTTGCCTTGCATGCCTGAGGCCCTGGGTTCAATTCCTCAGCACCACATAAGCAAAAAGAAAAAAGCCGGAAGTGACACTGTGGCTCAAGTGGTAGAGCGCTAGCCTTGAGCTAAAGAGCTGAGGGACAGCGCCCAGGCCCAGGCCCAGAGTTCAGGCCCCACGACCAGACCCCCCCCCCAAAAAAAAGAACCCAGGTCTTCTGGTACCTTCCAGGGTTTACTACAACACAGAAGATCTCACACAGAGGAAAGGAGAAAGGGAACGAAAATCCCTAAGGTTTCACCCCACCGCAGGTGGGGGGGGGCACCTCTGGCCTGGCTTCCTGCCCCCTGCCTCCCTGAAAAACACCCGCCTCAGATTCCAGAAGTGGCATCCAGATGTCACTGGATGGATGTCACCTGTCACCAAGGCAGGACACGGAGAAGGGCCAGGAGGGCCGAGGCTCAGCAAACTCCAGAAGCCAAGCCGAGAAAGGCCCCTTAACTCCCTCCCATGCACACCAGACTTCCCAGAGCCCCACAGAAGGGGAATTAGGTACCCTGCTCCCCGACGGCCCCCCAGAAGATCCAGCTTCCTGTCCATCCACCCAAGCCGTTTCTCCAAGCGTCGTTCTGGCCCAGCCCTGGCACGAAGCGGCGGTTGGGATGCATTCCTCTGGAGGCGGAAGGCCTGGCTGGCTGGCACTCACAGACCCTATAACCGGCACCAAACCCCACTGGGGGTGGCGGCCATGTCGGACGCAGCTGGAGTGCGTGGCCACGTTGTGCAAGCTGCATCAGCGCATGGTGTGAGGATTGCTGGGAGCAGGAGGTGGAAATGCTTGCCCACCCCAGAAAGAGAGCCGAGGAGGCAGGGACAGGATGAGGAAGGCCCGGGAAAGCCGCTCCCTCGGAGGAGAGCCACCGGGGGCGGCCAGAGTGCCACCCCCCCCAGGATTCACGGCTGTAAATCCACGCAGGGAAGGGAGGGGGTGGCACATGGGGGTGGGAGACAGCACCCCGGATTGCAGACAGACACAAGGTCACTGCACCAAGACCAGCACCCCGCCTGGACGCGTCCACCCGGGATGGGGCATGCGTGAGGACGCGGGAGGAGCCGTGGCTCGCAGGCCGCCCAGCCCCTGGGAGGTCAGGGCCTGGAGGGGACAGAGGAAAGGACACCGGGTGAGCTGCCCACCTCCCCACCCGCCCTGTCCTGTGTGTTGGGGTGCAGAGGGACACAGGGCGTCCCCCCTGCTTCATGGGATCTCTTCATCCGGACGCCTGGCTGGTCTGGGGGAGGGAGGCCGGGGAAGGAAGGCCGGTCCGGGCCCCTCAGTTCTGCCAGGCCAGGGCCAGGGTGTTGACGTAGCCGTGGGGCTCCCTGGAGCCTCGGGGCGGCCCTCCAGGCCCTCCAGGCTGCGGCAGCCCAGGAGGAAGGCGTTCTTGAGATGAAGAGCGAGGTAGTGGGCCAGCACCAGGCCGCACAGCAGCAGCGCCGACAGCGCGTGCGCATACATCAGCCAGGCCAGGTGGGCAAAGGCCGGGACCCGGCCCCGCCTTGGCCCCAGCGGACCCCGGCCCCGCCCCGCACCTGTCCCGCGCCGCCAACACCGCCGCCCCTAGCGAAGAAGAGCGCCCAGCCGGTGCCACCGCCAGGTTAGTGGCCACCCAAGAGCTCCGGGACACGTCGGTGCTGGCTATGAGGTACAGGTCCAGCTGGCCGCCCTGCGCCACAGCAGTGCCTGGGACCCGTGGCCGCCCCCCCCAGGGGAGCCTGGGGGGGCCGTGGGCCTGGGGGGGCCGTGGACCTGGGGGTGGGGGGCCGTGGGCCTGGGGGTGGCGGGCCGTGGGCCTGGAGGGGCCATGGGCCTGGGAGGGCCGTGGGCCTGGGGGTGGGGGGCCGTGGGCCTGGGAGGGCCGTGGGCCTGGGGGTGGGGGGCCGTGGGCCTGGGGGTGGAGGGCCGTGGGCCTGGGAGGGCCGTGGGCCTGGGGGGGGAGGGCCGTGGGCCTGGGAGGGCCGTGGGCCTGGGGGTGGGGGGCCGTGGGCCTGGGGGTGGGGGGCCGTGGGCCTGGGGGGTTGTATGCTTGGGGGAGCTGTGGGTCAGGGTATGAGAGCTGGCAGGTACCCAGCTCAAGAGGATGGGCAGAAGGCCCCCCCGCCCTGGAGGAGCTGCTGGGGTATAGGCCGGGCTGGGCGTAGCCCCGACCTGTGCACTAGCCTGGCCTACGGCATGGGTTCAGATTTCTACACCTGGCCGGCCAGCACCAGGGGCAGGCAGAGACTGGGCAGCCATCGGGAAGAGCCCTCCTCAGACCCGGAAAACAAATGCAGGGGTCAGACCATACTGATGAGAAGAAAGGAGGGAGGGAGAGAGGGAGGGAGGGAGGATGGGAGGGAGTATCAAGGAACCCCCAGGTGATGTCACACATCCACCTCCAGCAGATGGAGCAGCTCTCTGAACGCATGTGCTAGGTGAACGCTGGGTCCCCAAGGCTTGGGAATGAGGCACACATCTAAGACCCCGGCACTCAGAGGCCAAGGCAGGATGGCCTTAGCTAGACGCTGTTTCAGAATCGGGATGCGGGGGCCTTAGGCTGGGTAATGCCTGCGTGCCCAGACCGTACCCCTGAATCTGCCTTGCAGTGTGAGTTCTGACCAACCTGCTTTCTCCAGCCTGTCAGAACTCATGCTCAACTATGCATGGTCCGGTGGCCTCAGGACCCTGGCACAGACAGGCAGCACTGGAACGTTCTGCTTCCAGCCGTCTTGAAAGGCAGCGGTGGGAAGAGGCTTGGGGGCTGAGCTCCACCACTGGGCAGCTGGGTGTGGGCAGCCTAGTCCTCGGCCGCTGGGCTCTGGGCCTCAGCTTTTCTGCTGGTCAGTATGTATGACAGGATTGATGCTTTCTGGAACACACAGGAGCTTGTGTGTGTGTCTGTGTGTGGGGGGGGGGGGGGGGGGTTGGCTCAGGGCGTGCTGGGCTGCAGGAAGCTGACCCTACCTTAGCCTCTGAGGCTAAGGTGTCCTTCTGTCCAGGATTCCTTCCGGAAGCCAGGGTCTGCTTCCATCAGTCAGTGCCGGGCAACAAACAGAGCAGCCTTAATTCTTGGAGCTGGGCTTCACAGGCCTCAGCTGGGGGCCATGGATGGCAGCCTTGTGGACCTGGCTCCTGTGTGCATCGGAGCTGGTCCAGCAGAGGTCAGGGCTGAGCTGGGGAGCTGCCAAGTAACAGGCGTGATTCTAGCCGGCCTCGCTGGCTCCCGGAGTGTGCGCTAGCACCAGACTTACCCCGTGGTGTGAGAGGAGAGGCCCAAGAACCCACTTGGGCATGGCCTCCCCAGCCATTTCTACGCTTGGTGACCAGCTGTTGCTCATTCCGGAAGGTGCTGAGCCGCACGGGACCACCCTGAAGACGCAGCCTGCTGCCGGAAGGAGGACATTCCTCCTGGAAGATTGGCGTGGTCCCGGGAATTCCTGCTCAGGTAGCACGGCAGCCCTCCCTTTTTGTTAAGGGAAATGGTCGGCATTTTACCCATGACCTGAACTGGGGGAGGCAGACTCAGGCCTGCTCTGGCAGGGACTGGTGGGGAAGGGGTTGGGGAGGGGAGGACCCGTTCCAGCAGAGGGTCCTGACACAGGCCAGGGCAGTGGTAAGGGGCTCTTCGTACGCGTCGAGGACTCAGTTTGTATACAACCTCGTGGCATCATTCATTTCTTTCATGGGGGCGGGGAGGGGCAGGTTTGGGGAGCCATAGGCCCCCAGCCCTGGACGCTCGCTCTCTCTGGCAGCTGACAGGTGATCAAACAACTTCCTCCCAAAAGGTTATCACCGCATGCTGTGCTCTGCGATGGGGCCGCCACACTGGTACGCTCATCCTTGGCTGCTGGCACTGAGCATGTCATTAGGAGTGCTTGTTCCGACTTCAGAGCCCGTTTCTGCACATCTCCTCCAGTCTCTTCTGATCTCCAGTACTCCCCCAGAGGACCAGCGGGCAGGGAGTGGGGCCGCTCCTTTTGAAGGATTGTCTCCGTACCCACCATGCACGTCAGAGGTAAGGGACACCGTCTCCTGGCAGCCCCCTGCCCTTTTCCAGGGTTTCTGCAAGATTCTGCGTGTCAGCCATAATGCCCCACCTCAGGTGAGCCACAATAATTTTTAGTAAGACACCAATAATCAGGATGAGAAATCAGGGTAAAGATCAGGTTGGTGACCAGAGCACTGTATACACACACAGGCACACAGCCATAACTTAGCCTTGAAAGGGCAGTGTCTCACGGGATCCGCGACCTCCAGGGACAAAGGCAAAGTCCCTGCAGCAGTGCCAGACCCTGGGCCTCGTGCTGGGCCTGAGATGGGAGGAGAAAGCAAGCTGTCCTTGGGAGGAGCAAAGTAGATGAGCAGCAAGGCACAACAGAGGGGTGAACATATAAGCCTGCATACTGCTCGCGTCTGTGACCCGTGCAAGGGCCCGCCCAGGGCCTGGACAGCCATGAACTCCAAGACAGGTGTCCCTCCTGGTTCTCAGAAGGCGGTGCTTGTCGACGCGACAACAGGTTCTTCTTTCAGGCGGTTTATTCAGGACCTTTTACAACATCTTCTCTCCCGCTTCTTCTGCCCGCTTCTCTTGCCCTGTGCCACCCCCCCCCTCCAGTTATAAGCCTCCTGGATGGCCAATCCCGAAGCGCCACGTGGCATAGACCGATAGGGCTGCAAACACGGAAGCAAACTAGGAGCCAAGTCATAACCATATAAGGAGTTGTTTTTTACAGAGAGTACTCGTCACCGGGAAGACGGAAGGCGGGAGCCAGCGCCATCTTTGGTCGCAGCCGCTCCGTGCGGCCGCGCCGTTTTTGCGGCCGCGCCTTACGGCCACGCCGTCTTTGGTCGCGGCTCTCGCAGCTCTCCACAGGTGCTAACAGTTCCTAGTTAGGAAAGGGATGACACCAACGAGGAAACCGACGCCGAAGAGGGAGGCAGACAGGAAGGGAGGGCTGGACCCCAACGGCCAGGTTTCGGGAAGAGTGGGAAGAGGTGAGGCGCGCTTCAAGCTCCCGTCTCTCCTTCCCCTGCGAGATCATGATGCTGTGGAATGGAGAGCTCGCTGACCTCCAGCCCCCAGGAGCCCCTGGCGGGGGCTCAGCCCAGCCACCTGAGAGGCGGCAGCAGCAGCGGCGGGAAACAGAGGAAGTGACAGTGTTGTCAAAAAAAAAACCCAAACTCTCCCAGCTGAGATATTTTAGAATTCCACCCACCCTCGAGGCGGCATCTGGCTACCACGGCAACCTCTCACGTACACACCCACTGCGCTGCCTCCCGCCAGAGGAGACGCGGGGAAGGACCCTGTTCAGACTGCAAAGCAGTGGCGTTCGCCACCACACCAGCGAAGGAAAAAAGGTTACTTAAAAACAAAAAGACAGCCGGGCGCTGGTGGCTCATCCCAGCTCATCCCAGCTGCTCTGGAGGCTGAGATCTGAGGATCCCAGATCAAAACCAGCCCGGGCAGGAAAGTCTGTGAGACTCATCTTCAATGAACCACCAAAAAGCCAGAAGTGGAGGCATGGCACTAGCAGTAAAGCACTAGCCCTTTGTGAAAAAAAGTACAAGGCAAGAGTCTAAGGCCCTGAGTTCAAGCCCAGTACTAACAGTCAAAACTAAAGGAAAAAAAAAAGGACACCAGCCAGGCCTGGGCTGCGGCCTGGTCACAGAGGCCTTCCCAGGCCTCAGCCCCTGGCACCATCCCGGGGGCTCAGTTCCTTCTGCACACCAGTCTCTGGAGTGGATGCTGCCTGCCCAGTACCCAGTACCCAGTACCAAGCTTTGTCTGGACAGACCTGTCCTCACCGCTGAGGGTGGCTGGGTGACCCCGATGGCGGGCACCCCAACCAACGGGACGTCTGGCAGCTTCTGAACCCGCTGTGTGTGCCGCTGCCGCTGGTGGTGGCTCATGTTCCGAAGCCCTTGGCCATGAACATGGGGAAGAGCCGGAGTCACCTCGTCCTCTCAAGGACATGCCCCAATGGCCTAACTTCCTCCCGAGAGGTTCCACACGGCTTCGGGGCACACCCTGGATCCAGACTAGCGCAGAACACCCCAGGGGAGGTGGGGGGAGACGCAGGTCCTCCAGGACGGCCGTGGTGCTGAGGGCCCTGACCACACGGCTCTGTTCCCTTGCATCAACCCTGTGACAGATACTCAGTCACAGCCCAGCGTGGCGTGGGCTGGGGGAGCCTCCGCCCGGGGGCTGAGACGCACAGGCCTCTGCGCCCCCAGGGAGGCTACCACCGCCCGCCCTCTGCGCCTGTGGGCTTTCTGGGTACGTGCCACACAATGATAGCACAATTCATATCTGTTAGGATCATTTTAATTTAAAAAAATAAGACCCAGAGTCTCTGGGCAATAAAGTAAAATACAGTAAAAACCTTGCTGTCATGCAGTGGCTGCTTCCGTGAGAGCCAAGCCTCCAGAAGCTTCCGCAGGACTCCAGAAGTCCCTCCTGAAGAGAGGAGGGACCCGAGGCACGGAGGTGAGGTCAGACTGCGCAGAGCGGTGCTCGGGGTTTCACCGGCAGGTGCGGCGGGCGGCTGCCGCCCCGGGGCCCCGCGGTCCGGCTACGCGGCCCAGCCCTCCTGCCGGAGCACCAGCCGAACGGCCTCGCCCACGTCGCTCACCACGTGCGCCGCCTCCATCAGCCCCGGGCTGAAGCCGAAGTCCCGGTGCCCGTGGTACCGAGGCTCCGTGCCCGCACCCAGCTCTGCGGGCCCCGGGTCGCACGGGCTGTACACGCCGGTGCACACCAGGATGGAGGTGACGCTCCGGGCCGCCGAGGGCTGCCGCCGCCACAGGCCCCCGGCCCCCGGCTCCGGTGTCCGGCCCCGCCTCACCATCTGCAGGTGCCGGTGGAACAGGTTGGCGCCGTAGATGTCAGACATAGGGTTATCGCTGCAAAGAGGAGACCGGGCTCAGCGTCACGGTGGAGGATGGAGGTCGGCTGTGGGGACGGGTGTGGGGCGGTGATGGAGGCCCGAGGGGAGGGACTGTGAAAGGGGGCCGGGGGCGGGGCAAGGGGCAGGGGGGCCGGAATAGGGGCACGGAGACGCCTGGGCCTCACCCCACGGCGTAGAGCTTCCGGATGGGGGCGGCCCAACCCCGCCGCTCTGCCTGCTGCCTGATCAGGTCCTCTGCGTACTGGTAGGTAAGGATGCTGGGTTTGCCCATCAGGCCCTCGTATCGCAGCTCCTTGCCCGTCACTTTCCGGTAGATGGTTTCCAGGCAAAGCAGGAAGGTGCCGTGGCCAAACCTGCCCAAAAAGAGCTCAGTGGCCGGCCCTCTCGGCCACCGCCGCGCCCTCGGCAGGCCCAGACCCCCGACCCAGGGCCCCGGGACCGTGGACCGCGGCTAAAGTACTTGTAGGAGAAGCGAACACCAATCGACGTCTTCCCGCACAGGAACAGTTTTTAACAGCTAACTTTTGGGAAAATCCTAGTCACTGCAACTCAGGAGGCTGAGATCTGAGGATGGCGGGTCACAAGCCAGCCTGGGCAGGGAAGTCTGTGAGTCACTTTTTTTGGTCAGTTGGGGGGCTTGAACTTAGAGCCTGGGTCTATCCCTGAGCTTTTGCACTCAAGACTAGTGTTCTACCACTTTGAGCCACAGCACCACTTCTGCCCTTCTGGTGGTGAACTGGAGACTCACGGACTTTCCTACCCAGGCTGGCTTTGAACGGCGATCTTCAGACCTCAGCCTCCTAAGTAGCTAGGATTACAGGCATGAGCCACCAGTGCCAGCTTGAGACTCTTACCTCTAATTAACCACCAGAAAACTGGAAGTGGGGCTATGGCTCAAAGTGGTAGAGCACTAGCCTTGTGTGAAAGAGCTTGGGGTCTGTGCCTAGAGTCCCATGACTGACAAAAAAAAAAAAAAGTGATGGAAGAAAACCCGTCTCCACGAGATCACCGAGTCACAGGACCTAAGGCAGCCTGGGGCTCTGCCCGTTCTCCTCGACCATGCTCTCCACAGGCCTCCGTGCAATGGGAGAGGCCTCCGGAAGGCTGGCTGCCACCGGCCTGAAGGGCAGGGAAGGGCAGCCGAGCAGGGAGGAGGCCTGTTCCGAGTCCACAGGGCACCAGTGTGTCTACAGCACAGTGGTTCAGGCTGTCCCTGCCCTGCGTCTCAAGGGTAACCGCTAACGACAGACAGGCTGAAGGACAGGAGGAAACAGCATGTGAACAATTCACGCTGATACACCTCAACGTTGTCTGTGAAGGGCGTAAGGACACAGCACACATAATCCATTAAAGGGCCCGGCCCCTGGAGGCCCCCCACCCCCAGGGGCCAGGTTAGGGTGGCAGCTGTAGAGGTTGGACTAACAGGTGGGAAGCTGCCTGCACGCGTCCCGGGCAGCAGCTGCCCGTGGATGGGCCCAGGGCCCGTCCGCGGCCTCACCTGGGCATCTTGGCTTCCGCCATCCACAGGAGGTCCATGTTGCTGGCCAGGACTGGAAGGTGGGGGTAGGGGGCCCTCAGCGGGTCAGCCCCTGGGCTCCCGTTGCTAAGAAGGACGTCCATGATCAGCTGCAGGCTTGTCTCCCAGCGGACTGGCTCTCCGAGGAGGAGCACCCCTTCAAGGCAGAGGTGCGGGAGTGAGGTGGGTAGGGACAGGGGCAGGGGGGCCCAGAGCCCGGGGAGCACCGGTCCACCAGGGAGAACAGAGCAGGGAGCACCCAAGACCCATCTTCACTCGTGTCCACTGTAGTCACAGACAGGCCAAAACCTGAAAGCAGCAAGTCCCAGTGGCTTCCTCCTATCCCTGGGGCTTGGTCCCACAAACCTGCCTCCGCCGTGCACCACTGAGGCCCAGGGACTGGTACAGCCAATGGGCAGAGGGCCCGGCCTCCCCCGTGTACCACTGAGGCCTAGGGACCCGTGCAGCCAATAGGCAGAGGGCCCGGCCTCCCCCGTTCACCACTGAGGCCCAGGGACCCGTGCAGCCAATGGGCAGAGGGCCCAGCCTCCCCCGTGCACCACTGAGGCCCAGGGACCCGTGCAGCCAATGGGCAGAGGGCCAGGCCTCCCCCATGCAACACTGAGGCCCAGGGACCCGTGCAGCCAATGGGCAGAGGGCCCGGCCTCCCCAGTGCACTGCTGAGGCCCAGGGACTGGTGCAGCCAATGGGCAGAGGGCCCGGCCTCCCCCGTGCACCGCTGAGGCCCAGGGACTGGTATGGCCCATAGGCCTGAGTGGACTGAGAGTCCCGAAGGGCTACAGCAGTGCCATGCCTCTGAGCCTGTTTCCTCACCAGTAACAGCCCACTCAGTGCTGTGAGCAGGAACAGGAAACACAGAAGGCACTGACCCAGGGCGGGACAGGGCGAGTACTCAGCAAACAGCAGCTGCCACTGCTGATCACACCAGTGAACTGAACCAAAATAGCAGTGGGGAAGTGCCAAGGCCTGGGAAAGGGGCCTGGCTAGCAACGGGAGGCGCAGCACCGTCAGCGGCGCTGGCCTGGCATGGCAGGATGTTGAGGTTTGTCCTCAGCAACACAGGAAATGAGGCAGGATTCATTTTGTTGTTGTTGTTGGTCATGGGACTTAAATTCTGGGTCTGGGCGCTCTACCACTTGAGCCACAGTGTAACTTCACGTTTTCTGGTAGTTAACTAGAGATAAGAGGCTCACAGGGCTGGGAAGGTAGCTCAGTGGTTCGATTCCTCAGCACCACATAAGCAAAAAGGAAAAAGCCAGAAGTGGCGCCGTGGCTCAAGTGGTAGAGCGCTAGCCTTGAGCTGAAGAGCTGAGGGACAGCGCCCAGGCCCAGAGTTCAGGCCCCGCGACTGGACCCAAAAAAAAAAAAAAGGCTCACAGACTTTCCTGGCCAGGCTGGCTTTGAACCTCAATCCTCAGATCTCAGCCTCCTGAGTAGCTAGGATGACAGGTGTGAGCCACCAGCGCCCGGCTAGGATACATTTTAATGGTCACAAGGACAGACGTAGCAAGTGAGGACAGTCCTGCACAATCAAAATTGCCCTAAGTTGGCTGGGAAGGTGGCTCAGTGGTAGCGTGCTTGACTTGCATGCATGAGGCCCTGGGTTCAATTCCTCAGCACCACATAAGCAGAAAAAGCCGGAAGTGGGGCTGACACTCAAGTGGTAGAGTGCTAGCCTTCAGCTGAAGAGCTGAGGGACAGCACCCAGGCCCAGAGTTCAGGCCCCATGACTGACCCAAAAAAAAAAAAAAATTGCCCTAAGTTCACGAGACTCTATCTCCAAATAACTAGCGAAACACAGGGCTGGCAGAGTGGCTCAAGTGGTACAGCACCAGCCCAGCAAACATGAGGCTCTGAGTTCAAATCCCAGTACCAGCAAAAGAACACCAGCACGTGAACACTCAGTTACTTAAGCCATTTTATGTACAAAGTATCTTCATAGTTTCAATTTATTTTTTCTAAAAACAGAATCTTCATGTTAAGAGTAAAGAATCCTATTTCTTGAAACGTTACCAAGACTAGTTCACTGGTGGCAGTGCTCCAGTGCCCAGTGCCAGGCCCCAGTGTCTCAGGACAGCATCTCCCTTGAGGGATGGATGCCGTGTTCGGTGACACCGGGTTACTTCCCAGGTAATTATTTTAGACAGAAATATGTTACGACATTCTTTGCGAATGTTTTCCTTGTATTTCTTCGTTACAGTTAGGGTTTTATGCTGTACTGTTGCTTTTCACATCCATATTTGGAGAAGTTACGTTGCCTGAGAATTTCATTTCGGGGTGGTATTTTGGTTATGGGTGTGAGTACGGGCCCTAGGTCTTGAACTCAAGGCCTGGGCTCTGCCCCGTGTCTCTCCGTGCTCAGAGCTAGTGATCTACCACTTGCAGCTTTTTCTGTATGTGGTACTGAGGAATTGAAAGCAGGGTCTCACGCTTGCTAGGGAAGCTCTCTACCACTGGGCCACATTCCTAGCCCTGTCCTGCTCATTACTATTGCCCTACCACCTGAGCCACAACTCCACTTCTGGCTTTCTGGTTTTAAATTAGAGCTAAGAGTATCAGACTTTCTTGCTCAGGCTAGCTTTGAACTACGATCCTCAGGTCTCAGCCTCTTGAGACGCTGGGCCGGATTGTCTCTGAACACCTTTCCACTAGAGGGGTTTCTAGCGACCCCTTTTCTAAGAGTGGTGTGTGTAACCTATGCTGCAGAAGCAGTGAGGAGGCCAGGCGCCAGCTGTGCAGTGCCCCCCCCCCCCCCGCCACTCAGGCAGACTGAGCAGGCACACGGAAGGAGGAAGGAGCAAAGACCCCAGACCCACAGGGTAGTAGGGAGGGCGTCCTTTACCTTCAATGGCCGGGAAGTCACTCCTCTGAGGGGGCTGCGAGAGACAGAGAAGAGGCCCATCAGTGACACGTCTCGGTGCCCCTCTGGAGCAAGAACAGAGGTGGGGGGAGCAAAGACAGGGTGCACACAGCCCAGAGACCACCCCATCGCCAGCGCACAGCACGGAAAAGCTGACAGGAAGGAGAGCCACAGAAGAAGGGGAAAAGGCACGACCAGCGTAGCCCACCATGGAAGGAGGGCTACAAGTGAGGCCAGCGGGAAGAAGGCAGGGGGAGGACTTTCTCCAGCCGGGATAGAAAGCAAGATGTCACGCCCTCACAGAGAGGCCTGAGGCCAGTGGACTGAAGGGAAGGCAGCCTAGGAAGAGCAAGGAGCAGCAAGGTGTGAGCGGCCCTGTCACCATGTCAGTCTGGGAGGCAGGACCTGCACCTTTCCAGCCTCCTGGGGTCCATTTTCCTCCGGCCCTGGCAATTTGGCTCGGCCACCAAACGGCTCTTCTGAGATCTGCCCACAGAATTTGCATGCGTCTAAAAGAAAACGCCTTCCGCCGCAGCAGCCGCTAGAGAAGGGCCACAGCGGCTCTGCACTGGCCCACGGCCGTGGCCGTGGCCTCAAGGCCACCAGGCAACCAAGAATGTGTGCGAGCCGAGTTATGCCTGCCGCTGCCACCGCTGCTGCCACCACCGCTGCCACTTCACCAAACACACCAGCCCAGGCGGGATACGACCCACGCGGCGTCAGGTGTCCGAGCGGCACGCCACAGGGTCCTTGGACAAACGGGCCCTCAGATTCACATGCAAGAGGAAGCAGGGAGCTGAGCGGCATGCTGGCCGCCACGAGGAAGGCCACCGCCGCGGGGGGAGGGGAGGGCGGACGGAGGCCCCACTGTCCCCAGGTAAGTCTCTGTTCCCCTCAAAAACAAAAACAAAAAACTCTCCAAGAAGATGTGCTCTGTAACTAACTACAGCACTGGGGAAGGTGAAGGTATCCAAATAGACACAAGTAAGCCTGTGTGTAAGTATATTTCACGGAATCCCGAGGGCGGTCTGACTCAATAAGCAAGTTATATGATCGGTACACAGTTCACATGCTGCACAGAAGCAACAGAGGCCTGTTCACCAGGAAAGAAATCCCGGGCTGGGGTCACATTCAGCAGCAGAGCACTGCCTACCACATCCACAGCCCAGGGTCCAGTCCCAGAAATCAAGCTGCTGCTTCCGAGAGGAGCTGAACCCGGAAGGCTGCCTGTTTTGTCTTGTTCTGTTTACACCAGTCCTGGGCACTACTCCTGAGCTTTTCTGCACAAGGTTAGGCATTCTCCCACTTGAGCCACAGCTCTATTTCCAGCTTTTTGTGGTTAGTCTGGCCCAGGCAGGCTTTGAACTGCAATCCTCAGATCTCAGCCTCCTTAGTAGCTAAGATTACTAAGCTAAGCTATCAGCACCTGGCCAAGACAACGGCTTCTCACGAGAACGAGCTAGTAAATACATTCCAGCAGATGGAAGAGATGCTCTGGCTCTGAAAGCGTTCCTAGCTAACTACAAATAGGCTTCAAGCCGCTGCTCCTTGGGGCTGTTCTTACCTAGCCAGGGAACAATCCCTGCCAGGAGTCTCCACCACAGCACACAGAGAACACAGCTCTCAGCAGGAGGGAGGAGGAGCCCTGGAGTGAGAGGAGTGCATTACCGTGGTCTTTGGCCGCCGCTCCAGGTCTACCATGTCCAGCACTGGGAAGGCCGTGCGAAGCTCATCCACTGTAACCACGTTCTGGAAGCCCAGTCTGGTTGGCGCATGGTCAGGAAGGCACAGCTGGACAGGACAGGGGCACGGGGCCTCCCCAAATGCATGGAGCAAGGAGACCACGCTGGCCTGGCCACGCCGGGTGGCGGGCAGTCCTAACTCCTGGGGGGCCAGTCGGCAGGCTGTGGCAGTACAGACAGACTGCACACAGGGACTCCAGAACAACTCCCCAGCGGCCCGCGGGCACATTCCTGGCTCCAGGCCTTACGCCGGCCCAACCCTGGTTTCAAGGAGCTTGCAGCGTGCACAGACCACAGCACAAGACAGAGCTGCTGTGAACAGCTGGACGCATTTCCCAGGAAGGACTCCCTCCGATCCACCAGCAGCAGTGGAGCCCACACTGAGCTCACTCAGGCAAGGTTCCCTTCCCCAGCCCACTTTCCCTGTCCTCCAGTCACCCGCTATTCCGTGCCAACCTTCAACCTGCCCTGCCTGCCGGGGAGCCTGAACAAGCTCCGGGGTACAGCCGGACCCTCCATGATGTTCCGGGCCAGTCCTGCCCCAGGCCAGTCCTCTAACACTTAGAATCTTTCTTCTTTTTGCCAGTACGTGGGCTTGAACTCAGGGCCTGGGAGCTGTCCCTGAGCTGCTTTTGCTCAGGGCTAGTGCTCTACCACTTGAGCCACAGCACCACTTCCAGCTTTTTCTGTGTCTGTGGTACTGAGGAATGGAACCCAGGATTTCATGCATGCTGGGCAAGCACTCTACCACGGAGCCACATTCCCAGCCCAGGAATCTCTCTTTCTTGGTGTCCTCCGCTACTAGACCATCTCTTTTTCTTTGAGGTGCCAGGGCCCCGAACAAGGGCCTTATTAGGTCCTCCACCACTTCAGAGCGCACAGTCCAACACGGTGTGCAGGAAGGGTCCGCACAGAGGAACAAGCCGTCTGAGACCAGGGAACCACATCCTGCCCTCTGTGTGCCCGAAGGGACAGCTAACAAGCGGTTGAGCACCCAAGCAGGAGAGCGTCCTAGAATCGCAGTGTCGTTTAAATACGGATTCCTGATCCTTCCCTAGACCTAGGCAGGGGCTGGGGCAGAAGACCGTGACAGCAGCACTGGCCTGGCTTCCGGGAGCCACTGTGCACGAGGGCGCACTACACGCACTACACACGCTCCCCCTGAGCCCACCGAGCACCCACGTGCCTCTGCGGGGCACCCCGCACCCTGCACGCTGGGTCCCCCTGGCCGAGCGAGGGAGCCCCCCGTCCTGCCCCTTCCTCTCTAACCACAGCAACGAAATAAAAAGGATACGCCTGGGCAATTTCCACCACAGGGCCCTGGCCGGACACCAGCATCCGCTTGCTGTGGAACTGCCAAAAGAGCCTCATGGGGCTGTGAGCGAGAATGACTTGGTCCGGATCCACCTGGAGGGACAGCCGAGAGGAAGGAAGGCACAGGGTTGAGAGAAGGTAACGCAGTAGCAACAGATGCTTTCATCTATGAAGGTTTAAAAAAAAAAAAAAACGACAGATGCCAGTGGCTCACGCCCGTCATCCCAGCTGCTCAGGAGGCTGAGATCTGAGGATCGAGGTTCAAATCCAGCTCAGGCAGGAACATCCGTGAGACTCTGATCTCCAATAAACCACCAGAAAATGGGAAGTGGCGCTGTGGCTCAAGTGGTAGAGCGCCCGCCTTGAGCAAAAAAATGCGGGATAATACTTAGGCCCTGAGTTCAAGCCACAGATCTGGCACAAAAGAAAAGAAAACCCAAACTTCAGGTTATTTTTCCCAAAGAATTAAAAGACTCCCACTGACCCAACCTGCCATGACCCAAGGTCTGTCAATGACGTGACGCCCTGACCCAGAAATGGGCTGTAGAAGGGTTTGGGGTTTGATGAGGAGTGCCATCATTGCTGTCAATGCTTCCTACCTTGAATCTCAGCAGAGCTGACAGTTCCTGGGCTTTGCTGTGTTGTAAGATGTTCCCGGCGTTGGTGACGAAAACCACAGGAACCCGCAGCTGCCCCTGTGGGTCCAGCAGCCTGGCGAAGGCATCCAGCGCAGCCGGAATGACTTTGTGGCCCCGAACCAGCACACCATCGACGTCTAACAGGAACCCAAAGGTCGGGGGGCTCTGCGCAGCGGGAGAAATCACCATGAGGCGAGAAGCAGGAGAAGGAGGAAGAAAAAGAAACAACCTTCCCACTCAAGTCACCCAGCATCCTTGAGAAATGACATCAGAAATAACAAAATGCTGGAATGGAGGTATGACTGAAGGGGCAGAGGACCAGCCTTCACTGAAAAAGCCAGGCAAAAACTTAAGGCTCTGCTCAAGCCTAGTAACAGCTCACACACTCACACACAATGGGGGAAAGCAAAGGAAGCGGTTACTGGAGCTGGGAAGGTGGCTCAGTGGTAGAGCACTTGACTTGCATGAATGAAACCCTGGGTTTCATTCCTCAGCACCACATAAGCAAAAAGAAAAAAGCCGGAAGTGGCGCTGTGGCTCAAGTGGTAGTGCTAGCCTTAAGCTGAAGGGCTGAGGGACAGCGCCCAGGCCCAGAGTTCAGGCTCACGACTGTAATCCTAGCTACGCAGGAGGCTGAGATCTAAGGGTCACAGCTCGAAGCCAGCCCCGGGCAGAAAAAGTATGTGAGACTCTTATCTCCAATAAACTACTCAGAAAAAGCCAGAAGTAGGCCTATGGCTCAAGTGATAGAGCACTAGCCTTGAGCAGAGAGGCTCAGGGACAGCATCCCTTAAGTTCAAGCCTCAGGACTGGCAAAAAAGAAAAGAAAAAGTCATTTCTGACCAGCAGAAGGCCAGGGAACAGCCAGTGAGAAACTCACCAGGCCCCTCACACCACATAGGAAATGCCCACACAAACAGTGCCAAAGGCTCTGTGCCCCAACCTGTTTTGCCCAGCCTGGGAGACTGTCCTGGGCACTAAGCCAGCACCGTAACAAAGGGATTTTTATTTATTCTTTGTATCAAAGTTCTGAGGAGGTGTCTTTATCTCCAAATGGATTACCTAACAAAAAACGAACAATAGGTAAGAAAAACAGCAATGGCTAGTGAGAAATATATTCAGACAGATAAAAACCAACCTCAAGGCAGTTCAGTGGGGAGCACCAGCCCAGCATGCTTGTGGTTCTGGTTCCATCCCCAGCACCTCAAAAAAAAGGGGGGACTGGGAAGGTGGCTCAGTGGTAGAGCGCTTGCCTTGCACGCATGAGACCCTAGGTTTGATTCCTCAGCACCACATAAGCAGAAAAAGCTGAAGTGGTGCTGTGGCTCAAGTGGTAGAGCTCTCGCCTTGAGCTGAAGAGCTGAGGAACAGCGCCCAGGCCCAGAGTTCAGGCCCCACAACAGGCAAAAAAAAAAAAAAAAGGTGCTGGCCTGGTGAGTTTCTCACTGGCTGTTCTCTGGCTTTCTGGTGGTCAGAAATGACTTTTTCTTTTCTTTTTTGCCAGTCCTGAGGCTTGAACTTAGGGCCTGGGCGCTGTCCCTGAGCCTCTCTGCTCAAGGCTAGCACTCGACCACTTGAGCCACCTTCCCACCCCCCATCCCCAGCCCCTGCCCTGTCACCTTCTCAAAAGGACTAGCACACAGGTCTGTAGGGATGAGGGGACATGACCTGCCCATAGGCAGGCGGTGTGCTGACCCTCACAAGTGTTCCACAAAAGCTGGCTGGGTGCTGAATGACCCAAAGAATGAATAGTTAGGGACCTATTCCCCCTGGGACACACATCCCAAAAGATAAGGAACTATCCCATGAGCTTGTACTGCTAGGGACACGTGGACTTTGAGGCAGATTTTAAATGCCCTACATTTTAAGTGGCATTAAGTGCTTACTAACCTTTAAGTGTGATGCTGACATCGTAGTTCAGCTCAAAATACCCTTATTTTCTCAGAGGTATGAGAACTAGAATTGAAATGAGGAACCGGGGATCTACTTTAAAATAAAGTAAGAATCCGTCTGGCTCCGGTGGCTCACGCCTGTCATCCTAGCTACTCAGAGGGCGGAGACCTGAGGATCAACTTCTAAGATGGCTGGAGCAGGAAAAGTCCAAGAGACTCTCATCTCCAATTAACCACAAAAGAAAAAAGGCCAGAAGTGGAGCCAGGGGTCAGGTGTTAAGAGCGCCAGCCTTGAGCTAAGGAGTTTATGCATGTGTGGGGCCGCCTAGGCCCCTAATTCAGGCCCCAGGATGACATATATGTGTATATGTGTGTGTATACACACACACACACACACACACACACACACACATATATTCTTAGGTAAGATTAAAAGGAAGAAAGTGGTCTTCCAGGCAGATAAATCCTTTGGGACTCTAATCTCCAAAAAGACTGGAAGTTGAGGCTCAAGTGAAAAGAAGTGGAAACTGCGAGGCCCCGGGTTCAAGTCCCAGCACCCCCGAAGTGCGGTGTGGGGGTGTGGGGGGACCCCGGAAGGGCGAGCGCCGCGGGCCTGCCCAGCCCGGGGCCCCGCCTGGCCGCGACCCGGCGGACCCTCCCCGGCCCCCGCCGCCCCGCCCCGCGGAGCACGTGCGCCTCACCTCGGCGCGGCCCGGGACGTAGCCCCTGCGGGGTCCCCCCAGGCCCCGCAACCCCGCGGCCGAGCGCGCCGTCCGCCCGCGGAGCCCGCGGAGCCCACGGAGCCCGCGCAGCGCCACCGACCCCACGAGCGCAGCCATCGGTCGCCGGCCGCGCGCGTGCGCAGACGCGCAGCGGTCACTCCCCCCCACACACCCCCGCTTCGCCCCGCCCCCTCCACTCGACCAATCAGCGGTCGCCCGCGCGCAAGGCCGCTCGGGAGTTGTAGTCCGGAGCTCTGACAGGAGGGTGGCGCCGAGCGCCCTGAGGCGCCGGGCTCCCCCGCACCCCGCTCTGGCGGGGAGCACGCACTGCCACCGGGGCTCCAGTCCCGGCGGTGACTCGGCGTGTGTCCGCCGGGAGCCGTGAGGAAGGAGCGCGGCGCGGACGGAGGCGGGCGGTGGGTGTGAGTTCTCCGGCGCGCCGTCGGTGCGGAGGCCCCGCGCGGGCGTCCCGTGACGGGCGTCACGCGACACTGTGTTGGCTACGGCGTGTCCGGGCGCCTGGCGGCTCCGCCACGGGTCCGGGAGGGGGAGCGGGGCCCGGGGGGGGGGCGGGGAGCCGGGACCGGGCCGGGCCCCGAGACCCGCGGCGCCCGCCGTCCCGCGCGCGGCCGCCAGGGGGCAGCCGCCGCCCGGGTGACCCGGCCTGGCCCCGCCCCCGGCCCCGCCCCTCAGCCCCGGTGACCCGGCGCGGCCCCGCCCTCAGGCCCCAGCCCCGCCCCCGGTGACCCAGCCCCGCCCCCTGGCCACGGCCCCGCCCCCAGCCCCTGTGACCCGGGCTGGCTCCGCCCCCTGGCCCCGGCCCCGCCCCCTCGCCCCAGCCCCGCCCCCCAGCCCCGGTGACCCGGCGCGGCCCCGCCCCCTGGCCCTGCCCCCTCCCCTCCCCCCCCCCCCCCCCCCCCCCCCCGGCCCCGTCGCCATTTGCCGTCCACACGGCCGGCGTCCCCGCGGCGGTCGCGGCCGGGCCCCGGCCCGGGACAAAGGGCGGCGTCCGGGACTGAGGCCCAGGGCGGCCGGGGGGGCGGTGGCGGGAGACGGAGCGGCTTCCGGGGCCGGCTCACCCGGGGTCAGAGGAGGGGTCAGCGTGCCGGAAGGAGGTCTCTGGGGCCGGGGGGTCCCCGCAGGCCCCGTGCGGGACGGGGCAGCCCGGAAACCGGAGCCCCAGACCGGGAGGGGGAAGAGCAGCCGGACCCGGGCCACATGCGGGGACTAGCGGGGCGGGGGGGGGGGGGGCACTGACCTCCTCTGCGCCCTGACCCAGCCGTCCGAGCCCAGAGGGCAGCTGAGAGGGGCTTCAGACCTGGATCTGAAATGCTGCCCCCCCATCCTCATCCCCGCCAGGCCTGACTCCAGGGGGCTGGCTGCCCTGCACGGTGCCGCCTCTGGACAGCTCCCCAGCCAAGGGGCCGCCGCCCCGAGCGGGAGGAGGAAGAGGGCATAGTGCGCCCGAAGCCGGTGGAACCGTGGTACCCCCCCACCCGGAAGCCCCGGGCCCCATGCTGCTCCCAAATGTGCTGTTTACACCCTTCCCACTCGCAGAAGGGACAAGGGAGGGCAGGCTATTTTTAGGGCAACTGCTATTTGAGGTAACATACTACAGTGTGTGAAAATATTCATGGCTCAGTGGCAAAGCGTTGGCCTGGCCGTGTGGGAAGACCTGGCTTCATTCACCGCACCACAAAAACCAAGTCCCCACCCCGGAGAAGAGATAATTTTGGAATTCTGGAATGGGTGATTAAGTTGGGTTACAGAATCCTAGTCTGATAAATTTTAAAAATTAAATAGAAGGCGCTGGTAGCTCATACCTCTAAGCATAGTTACTCAGGAGGCTGAGACCTGAGGATCTCCACTCAACGCCAACCCAGGCAGGAAAGCCTGTGAAAGTTGAGACTCTTACCTCGAATTAACTATGTGCCAAGAAGGCGGAAGTGGAGCTATGACCTTGGGCAAAAAAGAAAAAAAAGCTCCTGGACAGTGCCCAGGCCCTGAGTTCAAGCCCTAGGACCCGCATAAATAAACAAGACATTGGTCAGGTACTGGTGGCTTATACCTGTCATCCTAACTACTCAAGAGACTGAGATCTGAGGGTCACAGTTCAAAACCAGCCTAGGCAGAAAAGTTCGGAGATTTCTGTCTCTGGTTAACCATCAAAAAGCCAAAAGTAAAGCTGTGGCTCAGGTGGTAGAATGCTAGCCTTGAGCAAAAAATCTCAGAGACTGTACCCAGGCCCTGAGTTGAAGCCCCAGCACTAGGACAAAACAAAACATAAGAATGAAAGCAAAAAGGGCTGGAGGTGTCTCAGGTAGTAGAGTGCCTGTCTAGCAAGCACAAGGTCCTGAATCAAATCCCAGTAACATTATTTTTTAAGGCAAATCTTCCTGAGAAATCTTGAGGAAGAGAAAGCTATTCTTTTTTTTTTTTTTTTTTTTTGGGGGGGGGGTCTGGTCATGGGCCTGAACTCTGGGCCTGGGCGCTGTCCCTCAGCTCTTCAGCTCAAGGCTAGCGCTCTACCACTGAGCCACAGCACCACTTCCAGTTTTCTGGTGGTTCATTGGAGATAAGAGTCTCTCGGACTTTCCTGCCCAGGTTGGCTTTGAACTATGATCCCTAGATCTCAACCTCCTGAGTAGCTAGGATGACAGGCATGAGCTACCGGTACCTGGTGCCCACTATTTCTTATTCCTTGTTTCTTATGGAGAGAAATTAAGTGTTAACCTATACTTGGGACAGAGGCTTTTTTTTTTCTTTTTTGACTGATCAGCTGCCCAGCTATCTAAAATTCTTGGGCTCAATCTACCCTCTTATCTCAGCCTCCTGAATAACTGGGACTATAGGTGCCCACCACAGCCCCTAGATGTGAAGAGATTTCCTAATTTAAAAAAAAAAAAAAAAGATTAACAAAAATGAAACAGGCCTGGGGGAAGAGGGTATTGTTAATGCACAATAGTAGAACGACACAGCTTAAAGATATTACCTGACTTTTATCATCAATTGTAAAATCTTACTCCCTAAAACAAGAGTGTTTGCAGGAGGATGTTAAATTAAAGGCTTGAAGAAAGCAGACACAAAATCCCAAACTGGATGGGTCACTGGGAAGTCACTTTCCATGGAACAATAAGGAATGACTGATTGGTTGGGGTCAGGTGGCTTCAGGTTACCTTTTTGTGTGAGGATTAAGGCCTGGGGAACTTCATTATCATAGCAATGGAACTGGCGAAGTTGAGAAATTTGGCTGTTACCTCTCTAATCCCGATGTACTGGAGCTCCATTTGGTCTGTTTGTGAACTTCAGGGCCAGCGACTCCATTTTGATTTTGATTTTTTTTTTTTTTTTTAGCCTGGTGTGTCGAGGTTCAGGGTAGCACTTTCGTCCAAAACAGTAGCCTCCTCTGGTTTCCTATGAAAGCTGAACCTGCACTGCATTAACCCCTACCTCTAAAAAGCCTGTGGTTTTCATTTGTATTCATCCATTTTCCTGGACCGCAGGAAAGAGGCTGGGTAATGTCTGAATAAATCCACCTGCTCACAGTCCTGGAGGTTCAGGCCAAGGCACTCAGGTTAGCTTGGCTCAGGTAATGGCCCAAGGCCTATTCATATGCAGAAGTGGAGAACTAATTCAGGATCTTACCATAATCCCTTCCAAATGACCTTAACACGGCCTGGCTGGACACCAGGCTTCCAACACACAGCCACTTGGGGGCACACATTCAAAATTTCCCCCAGCTTCCCACCCCCTCCCCCTTCCTCTCCTCTCCATTTCCCCCTTCTTCCCAGCTTGAAGCCAGCCAGGGCAGAAAAGTCCCTGTAAGACATGAATCTTCAATTAACCAGCAGAAAGCCAGAACTGGAGGTGTGACTCACGTGGGAAAGCACCAGCCTTGAGTGGAAAAAGCTAGGGGGACAGCACCCAGGCCTTGAGTTCAAGCCCCAGTACCCCATGTGCGCATGTGCACACGCGCGTACACACACACACACACACACACACACACACGGGAGAGAGCCCACAGAGACAGAATCCAGGACCCAGGGAGCGAGCAAGAGGCCTCACTCAGGACTCCCCACAAGCACCCTGCCCATCAGCACAGACCCTGTCTCTGACCCACTTCCTCAGCTGGGACATGAAGAGCAGCAGCAACCAAAATCACGAGGCCACGTTTGCCCCTGGGGCTCTGGAGCTGTGTGCCAGGAGGAAGGGCGACAGGGTGCCGAAGGAGCTTCTTCAGCATGCCAGCTTGGGTTGGGGGATGAGAGGGGACATGGAAGATATGGCCTGATTTTATCCTGAAACACATAGTGGATATTCCAGGTAATAGAATGGATTATAGACTTGAAAGGAATGGAGGTTGTACGTGGATCTTTCTGATTTTCCCTTCTTGATTCCCGACTTCTTAGAGGTCTTGTTCATTAGGGTATCCAAATCTCTGTGGGAAAACCAGTTTAGTTTGACGCTGGTGGCACATGCCTGTCATCCTAGCTACTCAGGAGGCTGAGATCTGAGGATTGTAGTTCAAAGCTAGCTCAGGCAGGAAAGTCTGTGAGACTCAATGAACCACTAGAAAACGGGAAGTGCTGCTGTGGCTCAAGTAGTAGAGTGCTGGCCTTGACTGAAGAGCTGAGGGACAGCACCCAGAGTTCAAGCCCCATGACCGACATTAAAAAAAAAAAAAAAAAAGAATCTTACCTGCCCAGATTCCAGAGTGGCTTTGAACCAGGATTCCCAGATCTCTACCTCCTGAGTAGCTAGGACTACACGTGTGAGCCACTCGAGCCCGGCCCTTGTCTACTTTTCTTTGCAGGATGGATTAACAGGGAATCCCAGGGATCCCGGGAAAGAAGCGCGGTACTGAAATGGCTCTGCAGACAGAACCTGAGGTCACAGCCAACTTTATGGATCTGTCGGAAGAGAAGAAAAAAGAAGAAAGAGGTAGGAGATGGTACCACTGGGCCAGAGCAGAATGGGCAAATGCATAGCCACCTTCCAGAGTACTGACCCCCGGCTCTAGCCAACCACACCACCGCTGGCCAGTGCCCTAGAGTCTACTCTGAGAGCACTTCAGCAGCCCTGAGGAAAGCTCTCTTGGCCTACATTGGTTCTCGTGA